AAACGATTCTTGTGGCGCTTCGAGTCAGAATAGACAATTATGTGAATTCTTCGTAGGATCTCTCAGACTAGATTTTCACGTCATGACAAATCTGCAGTTTTAGGATTGGGTCTATTATTATAATGGTACTAATAACGAACTAGACCATAATTCTACGACTTCTTCAGAACGTTATGCAATATTGGACCTTCTTGAGGGAGGGATTCAGAAAACTTCCCGAAAAAAGTCAAGAAATGCTCTGGAAACACTGTGAAGCATCTTATCCAGTCAGCGTTCACTAGAAGTTTCGCCAGAAACGTCTAGAAAGTGAAAAGTCACATGACGAGTTTCTGATTGCTACCATGTTTAGTAGCATTCCAGAATTTTCGGGAAACCCGGGGACATCTAAAAAACTATAAAAATCCTGGATTTTCTGTACATAAATGAATCTTTGGAGTAAAGTGTTTCTTCCATATTTCGCTCCTTTTTTCTCGTGTTCACGTCACCGTGTAGATCTAGCCTGGGAAGCGATGGGGAAAATTACAGTGAATATTTCTTTAGCGCAACCAAATTAATTATATTTCGTATTTTTATTGTGAGGAGTTATTCAGGCGGACATGCAATCAGTCGCATATATTTGAAAGTTCGCATAGATTTGAGTTTATTTTGAACAACTAAATAAATAATACACTTGTTTGCGCCATGATTATTTGGTACTTCAAAAACTCATACAGTCATAGGTTTGCATGAACGTATTGTGCAGCTCCACTGCATTTTACTTGGTTGATTTATCCGACAGATTCTACGGGTGATTAGGATGGGGTTATTAAAGTAGTCCGTTTGACGAATCGTCCAAAATCCTTTTCATTGTCTAACTGTGGACCCATCTGTTGGGACATACCTGTCTCATTTTTATAACCTTGATAAGGATATTACTCCCTGGAAACGAGTTCAAAAAATACGAATGGAAACTGTAACCGGACTAGAATTCAAACCTTACTAACCAAGCCCAACAGGTTTAAAGTGTCAGACTTCACAGTATAGAAGGTTGGTGGGGGGAGATATCATCATAGTACACTAAATCACTGATAGTACTCTCGACTAGAACGGTCACTTTTATTATTTAATACACCTAAATGCATATCACAAAGCAAATCGTATCACAAGACTGCGCAGTCTATTTTAATTTGTTCATAAAACCCATCACTATAACCTGGTAAGCCATTATATGACCTTCAATCTTACTATTTTGTGTGACCTAGCGTTTGGTATTTGTATGCCTTGTGTTCATCTTCCATCTAATTTCTGGTTAGTTTGCTGTAATTTATGCATTTTTAAACCGACATATGGATCTCCCGATCTATAACTTATCTACTTAGCTTTTCTACCACTAATTCACACCTATTTCTTTTCGTCTGTCTGTCGAATCGAATGCGTAAAACATACTCAGGTGAAACGTTCATATTTCGGCTTTTCACATGCGATTGCTATAAATGTGTCACAGCGACAAATCTGCGCAAGCAGGAACTATGCTTTATAACTGTCACTATTGTTTCGTTATTGTGGAGCTAGCAACCACCGTCAAATTCCATTCCAAGATTTCTTCTGGCTAGGATCTGCGAATTAAGTAATTCACTGCCTGTAGTGGAAGTGATATTATCTTCAAAATCCCCACTTGAGTTCTGTAAGCACTTATGGAGATTAATTTAAATGTTACATTTCGACTAACCTTCTCATTACTAGCTAGTGTTTTTACGATTTAGAATCATAACGGACATAACAAAGGTCAAAAATCTGTATATGAAGAACCTACCTATGCTACCCAAGTTTAGGCCCTAAGGAACAAATAGTTTAGTACTTCTAGCCAGAAAACTTTGAAGTTTGAATATGTGCATCTGTTGTCGAAAATGAAGCCGCGCTCCCATTGGTTTAGATGTGTTCTTATGGCGTTCGTCTGAGGGTTTGCGATCTTACCATGTTAGCTAACAAAAGGTGGGTAATAATTACATAATAAAAATAAGTTGCTGTGAGACTATAGTTTATAGACGACCTTTGAGCGGCGCTAAAGTGATCATGAGGATGTCTAGAAACCAACTAGGACTACATAGTCCTAGAACTGTTATCTTATATCTTATTGGTTCGTCCACAAACTATAGTCTCGCTTAAATTGCTTCTGAGTCTTGAAAATTGTCACATCACACCCACGTTTCGTAGTTTACCTTTGGTTTTGGTAAAGATGTGTCAAAAATCCCCATACTCAATGTAGTTTTTTCGTATAGTCTTTATCCTCACCGGCATTACCTCAATTCTAAGTAATTTACTAGAATATTGTTTTAAATGGTCTATTTTCTCCATATTATTTTGCATTGCTAGTTAACCGGCTTTACACCTGACTTTTAATCATATATTGTACGGAAGTTAGTTAGGATTTATTGATGTCATTCAAACTTTGTGGCTTAGTATTGCAATACTTATCATCACATCTCCACGACTATCCGTAGCTTGCATCTCCTTCTAAAATTTGTTTATATATGATTTGTAAAACTACATTGAATTCTCCAGTAAAGTGTAGGATTCATGGGTGGCATCGCGTTGGACTTTAAAACGTGTGGTTGGTAGCACCTTGTCATGTAAGTCAAAGTCATTGGCAGTTTGATAGAAACACGTGTTCTCTGTCTTACTGTGATTAGCAGTTACCTTTTTACGACACCAGTTTCTATCCGCTGGTCTAGTCACCGTTGATAGCCTTTCCCGATGTCGTTTCTTTGATTTTACCTTTGTTTCGAAGCATTCCCTCTCAGATTAGTCCAGTCCCGTTAGGTCACACGTCTTGTTTCTAGTAGGACGATGTGATTTTGATTAAAATGTGCTCTAGTATCCACATCACAGTTAAATATCCTTCATATGACAGCTGAAGTACATCCCATTCCCACACTCGACCTTGAGACTATAAAAATGGACAGTAGCAAATTTAGCAGGTTAGGCTCCTAAATGTTAACGCAGAACTTATCAGTTAAAGTGCAGAAATAAGTATAATTATTTCTTACATTCAACCTCAGCCCTATTCTGTTTGGCAACTGAAAGATTTATCCACGATACATTCCTCACTGCCTTTTCTCAGTGGGGTGTTGTTTACGAAGTCGAGAGGACGAAAGCAGGTCTGTGGATATGTAGGGTCCACCTAAGGGACTTGGAAAACCCTGATTCCAAACCAATGGTGCACATGGAATCCCAAATGGAAAAATGGCGTATGGGCCAATCGTTTGTCACAGGGTACCATGGGACTGCACCTACTGACGTTGCTCCATTGCCTTGTGGATCAGACCTCTAGATCGAAGGCTCCGGGCGTCGCCCCCTGAGAAAACCACCTGCTTCGGTCGGAGCATCTGCGCAGTATCACAGCCCACACACAAATCGAGATACTTGTGTGGCTCATATGTATTCGGTATCCCTTTGTACCAGTATTTATGTTCAAATAAATAAATACAAGATTGGCAGGAGCCTATCCGTGCACTCTTGATAGCGAGCCGTTCAAATTAGCCGGAAGTTTTCGTATCTGGTTAGTTGTGTGACTATTAATGATGGCATGAGTGATGAAAATAATCTACTTATACTGGAGGCCCGAGCGGCTTATACCGATCTGGGACATCTTGGGCACCGTTATAATGCATCTGACTGTTAAAGGTCGGGTCTACAATGCATCAGCAAGAGCAGTTTTGTTCTAGGCTTGTGAGTGCTGACCTCTTCTAGGTGGTGATATCGAGCAACTCTCTGTTTAATCATCGTTGTCTCCGGAGGATTGCCGACATCCGATAGAAAAGTTATGTTAGTAATGCGGATATTTGGCAGGATTTGTTCTTGGTCAATGGTAATATTTCAGTTAGTGCTGCCACCTTGAAACACCATTTTCAGCGTTATAAATGTCATCCCGGAGAATTCTACCGGCACTAGGATGAAACTGGAAAAGTGAGGCGGTCAGTTTATGATATTGCTGTGGCATGGTAGAAAACTGTTTAAGGTAGACTTCTGTCGGTCCATCATGACTCTATGTTTGGGGCCCGAGAGATGGAGCAACTCAGTTGCTTGAGACTATCAGAGATGACTCAATAGAAGCCAGTCAGTCAGTCAGTCAGCTACAACGTAGGACCAGGTACATATGTGCATCGGTCCAGGTTGCCATACCGCATCAGAACAAGATGAACACCGGATTCATAGCAGTGGTTAGGTCAAAGGTGGTAATATTATAAGAGAAAGATTGCATATAGAGATATAGTACAAGAAAGAATTGGTTCTTAGAAAGAAAGATATGAATTCATCTGCGTATTCTAAGTCGATAAGTGGACCTCCTGGAAGGAGATCAATACCCGAGAACTCAGTCAACGAGAAAGTTATTTCTATCAGTAGATCTATGATGAAGTTAAACAAAAATGGGGAAAGTGGATAGCCTTGACGGACACCACTTAAGATTGCAAAAGCAGATGACAGTTCGCCATAAGCTCTGACTCGACTTGTAGTGTTCGAGTAAAGAGCCTTTACAAGGTTTATGTACTTCTGGGGTACGCCTTTCAATGACAGACACTGCCACAGAATCTCGCGGTCTACCGAGTCAAATGCTGCTTTTAAGTCGAGAAAGACCACCATTGTTGGACGCCGATAAGTATGCCTATGTTCTAGAACCTGACGAATGGTGAGTATTATATACTGAACCCATTCACTCATTTTTGTCCATTTATCTGTTTTGATTTTACTCCTTTTCTGTTCCTCTTCACAATTTTATCTTATTTGTGTGGTGCATATTTGGTTTGCTGTCTAGTTGTACCACTATTTGTGTATGAAATTGGTTACCGTTCAGTTTTTGTGGCTTATTTATTTAGAAGTTTAATATTCTTACTGTTTCACTCAATAGTCATAAAACCTAGTTGAATATGACTGTTTTTAGGCAACATCGTTAGTTGCATGTACTTTCTTCTTTCTTCAATCAGTTGCTTTGTTATTTACGTTATTTTTTTCTGTAGGTGATTATGGATGAAGATTCGACTTTCATTCGTATGTTGGCTATTGTACCAGCTCATAGATCGCCCCAGGTATCATTCGTGTCCTACTCATTCATTTCACTGAGAACACTTCGTCTGATTTTGATATCAATTAGTATGATAACAGAAAATAGCTAGAAAACTTGCAGTGCTATTTCTTTTTCATTAACACGTTATGTCCAATTATGCCACTGGCTTGCAAATAATGTGGGCATTAATTTTTAAAAAATACTGATCGACTTTGTTGGCTTGTTGTTCAGTTTATTGGTATGATTGTGTTTCATAGAGTTGCCTATATTCTATGATTACTCTTGGTTATTGTAGGATTTAATTTGCCCTAAAGATATTCTACTAGAACTGTAAACGCGATACTGGCGACCCGATAGTCGGTATGAAAGTTATAGTCAGAACAAGGACAACTCGACTTCAAACTTTATCTGTTTCTAAACGTAAAAATAATTTGATTAGGATAATAATTAGAGGAACTATAGTCATTAATTGGAACGCATGTTTTATCGAAATGAATAAAAATTGCGAGTTACACTAATATAACAGGATAATAGTGTCCTTCAATTGGCAGGCCACATGCAACAGGGATAGTTTACAAACACACCAGACTAGATTGACGTGATGGGAGCTTAAGCAACGATTTGATTGGCTAGTCCAGGCTTCGCTACTGTCGCGCTCAAATAATCGGCTTCTTCCAATAGGCACATGCTCTGTATATCCCGGCTGATCTCTTCGGTTACTATCTTCAGTCAAACTCTTCTGACTCATTCATCTGGACCATAATTGACCTGTCCAACTATAGCCTTCGACCACATATTGTTCAATAACACTAAATCTTTCAGCTGTATATTTCTCATGTCCAACCACTTGGATTTCGCCTGAAGGGTTGGTAGGTACTCTCGTAACCATCTGTTCCAGTTGTTGCGTTTCCTTCCATAAATGTGTTAATGTCTATGGGAATTCACTTTTTTTTGTCAATTGTAAGAAACTAGTAATATTCGTGACCGTTATTTTCATTGTAAGTCTTAGTTTGTTTCTGTTACAATTACCTGCATTTTCATGCCATTTCGTACTGTAACAAATAGGTTATCTTCAATTCCAACTTTAAAACCAATTAAAGACATTAATAAAAATTACTTAATTCAGTTTTTTTAAATTGAAGATTGATGGACTCTTAGTTAATTAAATTGTAATTACGTCATCACAAATTTGCAATTATGTTCATCTGGAATCGTAAGTAATCCCCTTCAAACCTGTGTTCTGAAACGATTTCAGGAAAATGCCTTCATATTTGGTTATCTTCGTACAATTGAAGGGTTGAATCTTTCTGGCCCATCATCAGCATATCGAGATGATGAATTACGCGCAATCAGTCGTTACGCTCGTCATCGTCGTGTTCCAGGCGATATGTTGTTGTATCACACTGGTGAATGGTGTGATTCTTGGTTTATTTTGATAAGCGGATCAGTATTAATTGAAAGTTCCATGTTCTTGCCTCGATCATAGTGAGTAATTCTGAAAAAATTCAACATTTAATTTGGCTTCTTTAATGTTATGTAATTCGTTGTTGGTATCATGGTCTTCTATTGTATTATGTCACTATTCTTATTGCCTTTTGTATGAATTTGGTGGTGATCGACTGAAAAAACCGTACACAGGTCGTATGCTAGTTAGTTCATCTGCAATATTAAGGAAAATGATGTACTCCTCGTGAGATTTAAACCTATTTAGCAATCAGAGCCGTTACCTTTGAGTTACTTTGTTTGCGACTGATCTACGGGACTGAATTGTGTATGCACTTATTGATCATAAAGTTATAACAAATCAATATTAGGTAAAGTACACCGAAATTCCTAGTTGCATAGACTTGTGGTCATCCCGTAATTTGATTGATAGGATTCAGTCAGTACTCCGAACTAAATACTACGATTTGTTACTACTATCAAGTGGTCAGTTAACATAAACATGAATTCAGGATCATAACTTGTGTTCAGCCACCTGATTACTCATCATCCGCTGATAAGAAAACCTCTGATGGCCCCTGCCCCAAATATATTCATGTGTAGTTCATAACATCCAGTGTAAATGTGATCAATTCAAATTAGGCTTTAATTAAATCTGTTTCATGTGTACATCATGATTTATGATTTGTAAGATTGCCGTTGAAGTTAATTCCCATTTATCGTAGCCATTTTCATAATTTGGTCTTGAAATAGCATTATTTTAATCAGTATTTACAAAAAAAGTATTTAAGTGGCTTCTTGGTGTACTCTCAAGTATTATTGTATTTAAGTCTCGATATATTTTCACTGTTTTCTTAAATGTTATTTACAGAAGAATTGATTAAATCGCTAAAATTTTATAATTAAACTTGTCTTCATATGAAATATGTAAAAAATAGTTACTAGATATCACCAGTATTGCTCAACCTAATAGACTTTCCGAAAATCTATGTTGGCTAACTTTAAAGAGGATAAATATGAATGAGATGCAAATTGAACATAAGCTTTGTAAATAATGAAAATCAGAGGTGAGTAGTAAAAAAATAAGGGGATTAAGATATATGGTATATAAGAACTAGATATTGTTTTGTGCTTATTGAAGAGAATAACCGATGACTGTCAAGTCTATTTTCTATAAGGAGGCAATAATGATAGATTCATAAGACAATGCTGGGACAGTTTACTGGACTCCCAAGTTACCCCAACATTGACGATACCTTTAGATGGATTATGACATCAGTGTCCCAACTCTATTCGTAACTATAAAACTACTGTAAAACCGAATAAGAAAATATCATATAATCTTAACGAGTGTTGTAATATTTAATGGGGTTTCAATAACTGAAGCATTAGTTAAGATATACATATCACACAGTTCTCCCCAACGTCTTTAGGAATGAACATTTTGACTTGAACTAAATGACAGAAATTTTCATATAATAATCTTTTATTAATTGGTTTAATTATCATAACATCCTAAGTCATGTTTCGAATGATAAATCCCCAGAGCTCAATTAGTAAATGCTTTATTTTTGTAATATTAAAAAAAATGAATTTCTTGTTTTCTCATCGAAAGCCTCCATTTTCATCTTCATATCATATTTCGCACTTGAGAAGACCTTAAGTGCTATTGGTCCGTTGCCTCTTTTAATATGCTATTTTGTAACGTTTCCCGAGAACATTTTTGTGCTGTATATATATGCTTGATTTGTGCTTATTTTTGTTCGAGCTTCTGGCGGATTGTGGAGTGCACTTTCCCTCTTCTGAACCTGGACTTCTCTCTTTAGTTAGCGGGGCTGGGATGCATCTGAATAGTTAGCTTATGTAGTCATTGTGTCTTCGTTCCGTTCGCAGATTTAGGTGATCGTATAATTCATTCAAACAAAGCAATTCTCAAGATTCAAAAGTTTTCGGCTCGTATGTCGTGCTCAGTACTAGGACATCAGGCTTATGTCAGGTTTAGTTAAGGTTGTATAGAAAGTTACGCCGTTTTGATGGCGGATGAGATATTCAAATTCTCAAAATAATTTGAATATATGGTAATGATCTCATCACATCCCAAATTATTTTCAGGGGGTAGGTTTTTGAATTTCTTTCAATGAAATAACCACTCTCCAATGAGATCAGCTTTAAAAACCCTAATTTTACGACCATTATATATATAGGTAGCTTTTGGTGTTCTTTATTCACAGTTTTGGAACCCGTACAAATGGAAATTTTTATCGCCGTAATGACTGTCTTGTCCTCGAACCATCTGATCTTGTTGTGGTGAGCTATTATTATTGTTTTCTTTTTCTGTATTTTTGTCAGCTTATCATCTCAAATTTCATCTGTAACTCCATTTTAAATGGTCTCTAAATCTAGCTATCGAAATTGAATCAATCAATACAATCAACTTTCAATTAATCAGTCCATTTCTCGAATTCATTAATTTTGGCAAAGTTTGTGTAGTTGGATAATTTATGTCAGCGCCCTTACAGTCATATATGATAATTTGTACGTACGAATTACCGTCACAGCTAATCTAACTGCTACTCAGTTTGAATGCCTGACACAGTAACGCAGCACAAGTTACCACTATCCACAACAAACTTCCAACCTGGTCAAATCAAAAGATAATTCAGAAGGTTTATTGTAATTCTTGCCGAAAACATTTCAGTATGAAACGAATGAGTGGTTATAGAAAAACTATTGTCTTTGAGAATTAGCCATTGAGGATGCGATTTACAGGGAATCAAACCCAACTTCAGACATGAGGTTTAAAAATTTCTAAATGGCTGTTTGGAAAATTCTTTTCTACCTAACTCTGATCAATGTTTTGAAAATTACAGCAATTCTCAGTAGTTCTGGATTCATCGTTTATATAAATTTATCATAACTATCCATTTAATTTTTTATAAAAGTCATATACGATATATTTTGTTAACTGGTCGTTGACATAAGTTCATTTTTATTTTTGGTATATTAGTTTCTACTTATTTCTAATTTGTCACCTATGGATGTGCTTTTTTAATAATAATAATAATAATAATAATAATAATAAAATTTCTTTCACATTAATAAGCGAACATATTATTACATTTCTCTGTACTTTCAGTGATGTAGATTCATCTGAAATGATGTACAGTTAATGCTCTTTCAACAGGAAAAGAAACGTTTCTGATAGAAAAATGCTTGATATTTGACGACATTCCACTCTAGCGACCTTATTTGTTTGCTTCTAGTTATTTATCATTTTCTACTGTATCTGCAGTTCGATTGACTTGGTGTTTGATGACTATTTGATTGGTTCATATTTGTTCAAATGATCGACATGTCTCCTAATTGCAAATTGACTTAGGTGGCAAGTTTCTAGAAATACTCTGGCTTTCGTACTGCTATTTCTGCCAGTTTTTTTGTTCTCAGTTATCATACTGTCAATCTACTAATCTATTTTTTCCTTTGTATAGTGCTCCCTGCTTCAGTTTGGGCACCTGAGCAGTATCCAGCCCTCACACAAACGAATGATTTATGTGACTCATATTTATTTGGTGCATCCCTGTACCAATTTTTATGTGTTTAAATAAATAAAAAAAATAATAAATAGTGCTCCCTTCAGTTAATACAATTTATTGTACCAACTACATTAAACTGATCTTATTCGGTTGTTACGTCTTCTGCTTCAAATGGAATCGAATCTTTATATTGGTTTGTAGATAATAGTAAAATTATTTCTAAATCTTAAGAATGATTTTTTCATTGTTGTTCACATATAACCAAATGATCTGTTTCTAGGTTTCTAAGAATGATCTCGTTAGGGGAAAACTGTGCTACATTGGTTTGAATAATCATAAGCCAATAAGTAGCTAAGCATAAGTTTCTTCATACTTTATGGTGGGATCAAAGTGTTTGTAAGAATAAGTCGTATGTTCTGTCTAAAAATTTAATGGCCTAACTACATAATTGCTTTCATCATATGCATTCTCATTCAATGTTTAAAAATTGTTTTATATTTTTGTTTTACTAAAGATCGATTATTTGGACAATCATAGTTTACCCATATCATTTACTAATACGCATCATCTGGCAGTGGCTCCGTCCAAGCATAGGGTAAGTTTCATCAAGTTTTGTGCTTTTTCATAGATCATTTACTTTGAATGATACAAATTGTCAAAATTATATCATCTCTTTCGAACCTGTTCACTCACTTTAGTTTTACTATCGTGTTTGAAAGTTCCTAGACAAATTTTGTGTCTGTATGCTACCAGGTTTTTACAGTTTTCCCAGTTTAATGTGTTATGATCGTCTACAACACCAAAACGACATATTTTTTGATTGAGACCATGAACCGATTGATGTTAGACCAACAATCTCCACAACCCCATACTGATATTTACCATGTGCTCACTAGTGACTAGCTTCGAGAGGTCATTCTCGAAGTTCTAATGAGAAGCTATGACCAGTGGCGCTAATCCATGTCAGGTAGAAACAGTTGTCTACCTCAGACAATGGAAGATGGCCGCACAATTTCGTGGATTGGTTGAAGTTAGACATTAACACCATTGGATGCCAGCTCGGCGGTTTAGAGGTCAAGCGTTCGCGCGCAAGACCGAAGGTCATGGGTTCGGACCCTGCCAGCAAAACCGTGGATGCACACTGCTGTGGAGTCCCATACTAGGAAGAAACGGCCGTCCACTGCTCCCAGGTTTTCAATGGTGGTCTAACATCAATCGGTTCATGATCTCAATAAAAAATTCAACAATCCCTACAACCCCATACTGAGAACGATATATCTTAGTGCTCTTAAGAAGTGATTTGATAGTTAATTCTCCCAGCTTTCACCCAATAGACCGTCTTCTCGAACCCCACTCCACCTACTTCAGTTTGGGTAACTCAGTAGTATCACTAGTCATATCACTTCTGCTTGACTCACATACGGTGGTTAATCATATGTTGATTATGTTGACTAGCATAGCAATATTAATAACCGTGATAAATTTTGATAGATTACATTCATCTTGCATTTTTTATTTCATCTTATGTTCTTTTTGGATAATTTATATGACTTTTGTCATTTTAGGTACTTGGCCTATCTCGACTTAACTTAGCCACTCGTGTAACATCACATACTGTTTATAAGCTAAAGCGAGGATGACTTCTCTCTGTGATTAATTCTTTTGACAGTTCAAATTTTACTTGTAACTTCATAATTTAAGAATGTATTACCAGCAAAAGGTAATGCTTTTTTCTGAATCACATGAGATTTTACAACGTGCTAATTTTTAGATTGATTCCGTCACAGTTGTTATTATTATGAATTTTATGGTTCATTCAAATTTTAAATAACCTGTACTTGGTTAAATGAGTTACATTGCATTTGAAAATTATTTTCACTGTTTTCTAATGACTAAACTTTGACATAACTCTGAAGTATCGTTGAAGATGCATATATTATGAATACTTAGTTATTATTTATTGTCTATACAGCTTATGGCTATTTTGTAATATTTATCTAGTATTTCCTACTCGAAATGTACTCAACATTTATTTAATCATTTTAATAACTTTTTATTAGCATTCTTTAGATCGTGCACCGGTCTCATTCAATGATAATGATACTTCACGTGAAATTTTATCAAATGATCGTTATTCGGAATCGTCTCATAGTATCAGCTCGTCATTAAAGATCCAATCTTTGCTGAATTTTGACCAAAGCAAGCTCCAAAGACGACCTACCAGGAGTACACAGGCTGATGCTATTAATTCATTGAAATCATTATATTTAAGTGACACATCATCTACACATTCTTTTAGTTCTGGAGGCATTCAAAATAATTCAAGTCATGGACGTTCAACTCATTCGTGCGTTTTAAAATCTCCAGAAAAACGCAACAAAAAGATTGGTTATAACTATCCTAAATGGTATAAGACTGGGTCAGACAATAGCCATTGTATGGATTCTGAAGGTGATGATAATGCTGTTGATGATGATGATGATGATGAGGAGGAGGAGGAGGAGGAGGAGGAGGTGGTGGATGAAGATGAAGAGCTTGAGTCAAGTAGTCATGAGGTTTGTAGTGTATTTAATTTAAAAGTGTACTTATCCTGCTTTGTTTCTGGATTTCCTCTAGCATCTATTCCAACTACTTGTAACCCGTTTAGTCCGTGATATATATATATATATATATATATATATATATATCCTTAGATACTTCTTGATTTTAGATTTCTTTACATGTATGGATTTATTTGTTTATTTAAACACATAAACATTGGTACAAGGAGGCACCAAATAGATATGCGCCACATAAATCATTGGATTTGTGTGAGGACCGGGATACTCCCCGGGTGCCCAAACCGAAGTGGGTGGTTTTCTTAGGGGGCCACACCCGGAGCCTTCAACCTGAAGGTCTGATCCACATGCCAGTGGAGCATTGTAAGGAGATTCAGTCCCATAGTAGCCGGTGACCAACGATTGGTTCGCACGCCATTTGTTCCTTCAGGATACTGGAGCACATGTGTACCATTGGTTTGGAATAAGGGTTTCCCAACTCCCTCAGGTGAACTCTCCATGTCCACCAATCCGGTTAAATCGCCAGACATTCACTTTTCGTCCCCTCAATTCCGTAAACAACACCCCCACCACGAGAAGGCAGAGAGTACATTATTTGCTGAAGTCACTTTGGTTCGACAACTAATTTAAATTAGGGAGTATCTGTGAAAATCCAAGTATCAATTCAGTGGCCCAACATCAACACCTTGACTACGACGTCTGAAGGTTTTGAGTTTGATTTCTGCCAGGGTTGTAGGTGCACATTGTTCGATAATCGCGTACCAAAACAAAACATCTGTCCTGCGCTTTTTGGTGTTCTATATTTATCTCATTGGTGTTGGTCCGTGATATATATATATATATATATATATATATATATATATATATTACTCGTCCAGTAGTCGCGTACAACTCGCAAGTTTTAGATAATAGAATCTCAATTTTTGACATAACTTTTTATTCATGTATTACATAATTTTACTTCTTTTGTTTCGAAACTTCATTTTTTTATAAAATAGTCTATTCGTGATGCATTTTGGGAATCTATTCTTAAACTCCCATCAGATCGTACACAAGAAGATGTCGATTTATTGTTGGGAAATGTTGAACAATTGCCTGTGAGTATAAGAAAGTAGTACTGCTTTTTTATTATAATGCATTTTTTTCACGCTTGCCAAATCATATCTCATAGCTATTCTTCATTATTATTATTGTCTCGTACAACATAATGTAACTATATCCATCTTAAATGGTTTACTGTGTATGTATACCAAGAGCACATCAAACTGATTTTACCGAAAAAACTTTACTTACACCTGTTTGACCTGTAATTCAGAAGCGATTAGTCTGAAGGATGGTTGAAAATAGAGTTCTGTCTAACATTCTAGCTTATTATCGATGCTCAGTTGTTCATTTGGGTTTTTTTAATGATAATTATTGCCAACTTTCAAAGACCCACCAACCTGTTTTCTCACTACTCAACGTCTAGGCTATCATACAGATCATCGGTAGCTTTTTATTTCAACCACTTAATATTGTGCTACTAAGATACCTTTAAGTTACGATATTCATGTTTTAAGACGTTGTAGGGACTGACTGGATTCTGTCAGCTAAAGTAATGAAGGAATGGGTCGATGGGAATTTTTATTTATATTATGTATGCACTATTAGTATTGTCTCGCCATGTGTACTACTTATGTCGATATAAGTAGTATATAACACTAGACAGGAATAGAATGTCTTTTAGTGGCCCGTGGATCTGACTCCATTTAGATCGTACGAATGTTCGTTATCACCCATCCCCGTATACATTTGTCGACTTAAATCACGTTAGTCAATGACGGAATTTAGATAAGTCAATTAACGAGAATGGCATTTGAATACATATGTTTTGTATGTAAAGTGAATGTAATAGAACAAAGCGAAATGACGCGCATGGGAGATGGCTGGTAAGCCAACTCATTTTTAGCCAGGCGTTACGCAATATTTATAGGCAGACAAAATGAACTACAGACATGTGATGGGACATGGGATATGAAGTGTACACACATATACGCTCATATAAAAACAGTCAAGACTGATAAGCGAATAATTGACAAGGTCAAAATATGACTCAAGTAGAATGAATAGAATGGGATGTCCGAAAGCTAGAATAAGGTATATAGGCTTAACATAATAACTGACACTACAGTCTGTCAGCAGAAGGTTGAGATGACCGAGGAGGAAAGAATGGGAACAGAAAGCAATCGGTATAGAAATGCAAGAACAATGAGGTCTGAGACGATTGACATTTTAAAAATAAAGAATTTACTGTATGGTTCTCAGAATTTAACAAGATGTTCTGTAATTTTATGTTCATATGTATTCGATTGCCCCCACTTGTGTTCTCGGTCACTACAGGATTCTTAAAGCTTCGACAGTATTGTTGCTATTGCAATGCCTTTGTCCTTTATTGTTCACGGATAAACTTATGATCGAAGGATGAAATTTACACCAGTATCCTTGGTATTCTGAATCGATACTTGAATAAATTTAACTAAAATGTGGTCAATTTTAATTGCAAACGTCGAAGGCAAGTAATTGCACAACTTTGTAGTTCAGGCTTATGTTGACTAAGGATAAAAACGATTTTCGACACGCAAATTTCGTAAATCCTTACTGTTTCAATATTACTGAAGTCATCTTGAGAGAAGTGTTACGACTTCCATTGTTGTAGATTTCTTTTTGCCTTATTTATCTATATAACGCTCTGATTGCTCCGAATTCAATCATCTGTCTACTAGAAATGCTATTGACTTTGGTAATTCTATCGTAATCGGGGCAATATCCCAGTAGTCACAACATTTGACTTTCATACACTGTCTCGTGTTTGAACTCAGCTCAAAAGAGGTGGCTCTTTTGATTCTGATGGCCCACCGATAACGCTAACCCTGACACTTTAAGTATGCGTAGTGCTGAATATACAAATCTTTATTCGTTGAATACGTATTATGTTATCTGTCACTATTGAGTTTACTCCAATATTTATATGTCACCTAATTTTCGTTTCAACCTTATCTGTTTAATACTCGTTGTTGGTCCAAATGAGGAATAAATACAAGCGGTTTCCGCCTTTTGAATAACGAAAATGCTTGTCGTTAGATTCACTCTAGGGATTGAAGCATGATAATCAAACTGTAAAGTTGCCGAATTTTAGAAAAGCATATAAGCACACTTCGAAATAAATTAAAGTGCAAAATAGATCATATCCACGATGAAAATACAGCACTGCAATTAATTTTTTATATTATCTTCAAATATTGATTTCCGCTGCTCCTAAAACTCTAATATGTCCGCATTAATCATCAGGGCTCACATATAATTTCATTGTTGGTGCACCAGGCTACCACGTTCAATGCGATGGTATCATCAGTTATTTGTAACTTCCTTTCCAGTCAGTCATAAGCAACGTAAAAGCCTGCTACGAATGTGCATCTACTCAAATTACTTCACAGTGTCAACACAATGAGCCGAAATTAGCAAGATAAATCTTAAAGTATCAGTGAAAGCAAAATAATACTACACAGAATATAATGGAAGAAGAAAGAATGAATTTGCGGATTGAAAAGCATCAAATCTTTTCAAAATCCAGTATCTAATGGTAGACAAAGAATGCATTTGTGACCGATTATAAGCTGTCACCCACTGTCTCCAATCATTGGACTTGTTAGTCTTTCTGACCTCAACCAGGTAGTCTACACCTACGAAGATGAGTCAGTTCAGTAGTCAATACCAAATCTTCGTTTGACCACCACAAGGCTTCTTCCAGTCCACTTTTACGCCCCCCAACATTGTGCGTTAGATAGGCGGTAGTTGGACATGAATAACATGTTTAAGTAACGCTAGTGAATAAAGTTACAGTCCTATCAAACGGACTCTTACCCTTAACCTTGCCTCTAATTTCAATATTGCTCACTCGGTTTTCCTACCAAAGATGAGCAGTGTTTTGAAGAGATCTGCCATCAAATACTAGAAAACTTCGATTGTCATTTACTTTTTAAGGTTTCGTTTCGCAGTCATAACTGGTAAAAGATCAAACTTGTGCGCACCCTACTGACGCATTGGTTGACAGATGATTATCTTCCCTACACTATAGGTGATATAAATTAGCAAAAGTTAACCGAGCCTTCTGATTCCATATTGATATTTCGTCACACGTCAATAGAACAAGTCTGATGAAACTTCCAAGATAAGTGAAGCGGTCAAGGCGCTCAACTATTCTATGGCCTACCGTTAGTTTAGATGTTGACTCAGTCCCGCCCTGAAGCAATATTTATCTACAAAATATCTATAAAATAAACAACAAAATCGTCAAAGTTACAATTAAATAATCATGTAGTTTCCAGTGAATGTCTTCAGAATTGTTATCTTAAGATACTATGTGACTTATGGAGTCAACATAATTACGATTAAGACAGTTTATCACTCATGATCTAGGTCAAGAGTCACGCTATAACTGATAAAATCATAAATGAATCAGAGAAACATGAATCTATCCAAAAAATAGGTATAAATTCCAATGTTCGACATGATGATTTTAAACAAATTGATCATTGGGTAAAATTTTAGTGATAAAATATTTGTATATATATGATATCCCAGTGGACTTGAATTTCACGAAGCGTCAAAAATTCAAATTTCTACTCACTGGGATCTCATAATATATGTTATTGTTTATTACTATTCAAAAATGTTCATTTTAGTTATTATTATTATTATTATTATTATTATTATTACTGTTATTATTATCATTATTATTATCAGGTACCTTTGGTTAAACAGTTATAGTATTGATATCGAATTGTTATTAAAAAGAATTAATTAAATAATAGAACTTTTACCGAATTATAGGTCCATGTACTGTAATTCGAGCCTCAGTTTTCCTTGTGTGATCTTGCAATACTACGCAGCTACCCATACCGAAGCAAATGTTTCGGCATTTCGGCTCGCGACCTAAGGGTTGTGAGCCAATTGTTGTAAATACTGTTTCACCGATTGCATCTACCTACTATATATATATATATATATATATATATATATATATTGTGCGTCAGAAAAAAATCCACTACTCTGTATCAACCCACAGGAGGGTATCACTTTCTAGTGATATATGGTCCCACTTAATGAATTACATTGAATAATTAAATTCATATTTTGTTTACTGATGTATGTCGTCTATCCATATGGTCGTTGTTGGTTATAACACTTGTTATCACCTGTATTTAAAAGCATTGATCTCCTTTCTCGAGGTCCACTTATGGACTTAGAATACGCAGATGATATAGTCCTGTTTGTTGAAGACGCTGATAAAATGCATTCTTTTGGTAGCACTGAGCAACAATACCAAACGGATTCGAAAAGCTCGTTTGGCTTACTCCAACTTACGCCACCTATGGCGAAGGCGATATATCCGTCTATCAATAAAAGGACGAGTATACTGCGCGGCATTTCGTTCTCTTTTACTTTACGGCTGCTAAACATGGCCATTAAGAGTTGAAGATACTCGTAAGCTATAAGTGTTTGACCACAGATGCCTTAGAAATATTGCCAACATCTGCTGGGATCATCGGGTAAGTAATAGTGAGGTTAGACGCAGAGTATTAGAGAATGATGGTAAATCAGTTGATGAGGTTGTGAATCTTCATCGACTGAGATGATTGGACCACTTGTTGCGTATACCTGAACACCGATTACCATGATGTGCAATGCTAACCAGTGTTCGGAATGGTTGGAAGAAAGTTAGGGGTGGCCAAACCAAAACGTGGCATCAGTGCTTGATTTCACTAACTTCTAGTCTTAGCCATGTTGGTAGATGCACACTACTTGGTTGGGGTCCGCGTGACTATCGTAACAAATGGTTGGAGACTCTTGATGACATGGCTCAGAATCGATCACAATGGCGTAGGTGTATACACTCTTTGTCTTCCCTTAAACTAAGAGATTAAAATCGCTTCATATCTTTCTTTCTACGTACGAAATCTTTCTTTCTGTACTATATCCATATATGCAATCTTTCTTTTATATATTACCACTATTGAAATAACTGCTTGTGTGAAACCGGTGTGTGTCTTGTTGTGCTAATGAGGTATGGCAACTTGGACCGATGTATGTATGTGCCTTGTCGTACGTTGTATCTGACTGAGTGTATGTTGCCTGTTAATTATTTAAAATGCTTATGAGATATTCACTCTGTATCTACTATCCATTAAATGTTTATTGATTGCAGCTGTGAATACTTTGATTTCAGACATAATTTATGGTGAGTATAATCGGAAAACCTCTCATATATCCTTCTTTCAATCTTTCCTGCGTACTTGCTTCCATGGTTGTTTAGTTAATTATTCCCACCCAACACAACAAGAGAAGCTTAGTGGTCGTTCGGGAAAAGAGAAGAGCCTTCCAAATAGGTTTTTACTGGGCTCTGCAGAAATAGAAGTAAACGCATTCATTTTGGTTCAGGGATATCAGTAGTATGGTGGATCCACTTTGCCCACATATGTAGTGCAGACGGGCACATTTTGACCTACACTGCAGTTTCCCACCAATTCCGAAAGCTTTTGTGAAAGCCTAAAGCGCTGATGGGTTACTAATGAGTTCACTAGCTGAGACTGGAATTTTCTAAATTTGTCGTATATTCAAATGTACATATCAGTGATATCAACATCCTAGTGATACAAATACAGGCATAGATGGGCGTGGTTGCTAATATGCTTTACATACAACCATAGAATTCGCAGTCCACTCACCCCACCAGTACTTACAGGCATCCAAGTTTCTGCGTTACGTAGACCTATATAACGCATAGGCCGAATCCCATACACTCCATAGGATACTTATAGGCATAGATGCAACCACCCCATGCCCTATCTCAACGGCTTCAATCACTGAATGAATATAGAGTACTCAAATCAGTATATAAAATAAGTTATCATAAATGATATGCTCATACAACAAGTAGGTTTAGTGTCGACCCCTGTGCACTGGTTACGGCACAGTTTATGGCCTATGCTCTGGTGAATTTGTCATTAACATTACCGGTCGTATGGGGGCATTCGATTTGTGGAGTTTAGAAAGATCATACATGAAAGGTAAGCGTGTTCCTTCTGCCTTAAGTTCATTATAAGTTGGAACACCAACCAACATTAAGAAGTATTTAGTAATTAGTCTGTTTCTTTTATTGATACATATAGTGCACTCGGTCTTGGTTTTCGTAGTTGAATCATGTCGAAAAAAAACTTCTATTTATTTTTAAGTTCCCAAATCCGCGTATGTTGTTATCACTATCTCAGCTTCAGTTTTGGTTTGGAAAATGTTGGCCTCCTAGACGTAATTGTCATTGGGAATTCTCAAGAAACTTTCTATGCTAAACTTTTTAAAAAACTAGTTATATACACGATATTCAATTTAATATAGTTTTTAAATTACAGCTCTCCATAATCTATTTTTTCAAATCATAACTTGAGCTAAGTGAAACAATGATTGGAAATTGAAAAGCAATGGACAGCTTTCTTGTGTTAGCATGAAAATCCTCGGGAGTGCACACCTAAGACCCAGTAAATGCTACAAGAGAAGTAGAAATCATTATGATTCGACCAAGGAGTTTGTAGGGAACTTTAGTAAACTAGAGCGACCAGTCTGGAACAAAGGAAAAACCAATCACTGAGACTCATGAGCAGCGGGACGGATGCGTAGAACATTTTGAATAACACTTGAATAGGCCCACCTCACCGAACTGACCGCACTTCAGATCAGTACACAAACTTCCTTATTGATTATGCCACACCAACAATCGAAGAAATCAGCAAGGTCATGAGAAAAATAGGGTGGCGATGCACTAAGACAAGACAGCATTCCATATGAATTATTAAGGTCAGATACAGAGGTCACTGCAAAGATGTTCCACTTTCTTTCCAGAAAGATGTCAGACGAAGTACAAGTACCAACAGACTGGAATGTGAAATAATCATTAAGATATCGAAGAGAGGTCTTAATAGACATGAGAACTACAGAGGCATCAACACTGCTGTCAGTACCAGGTGAAATTTTCAGCAGTGTTACTGAACTGAATGAATGATTCAGCAGACATCCAACTTCGAGAACAACATGCTGACTTTCGTATGGATCGACCACTTACCGACCAAATTATAACAGTGCGGATTTTTGTCCAACAATCAATTTTATAGAACTCATTACCACACATCAAATTTCTTGACTATGAGGAAACATCCGACAGTTTGTGCAGAGAAACGTGGAATATTTTTCAGCTCCAAGGATTATCGGTAGCTCGCTCTCCTTTTTCGTCTTTTGGTTGTCGATTGAATTATTAGGACCTACACACCTCAGAAGCATATAATACAGTAAAAATTGGATGGAGCTGTACGATTTGAACTTTGAATATGACTTGATCCTTCTGCAACAATTGCAGACAAAGATAGCGGCCTTCTCAGCAGTCGGTCTAAACATTCAAAAGGCGCAAAACAGAATCCTGAATTACAACACAGCAAGTACCAACCAAATCACACTTGATAATGAAGTTTTGAATGTGGTGGAAGCCTTTTCATAGCTGGGTTATGTTATTGATAAACAAGGAGGATCGTATGCAGATGTCAAGGGGACTATTTGGTAAAACATGGGCAACATTTCTACAGTTTAAGAATAACTGGTATTCCAAACTGTCACCCAAAATCACTGTCAGAATTTTCAACACCACCGTTAAAACAGTCTTATTCTTTGGAGCTGAAACTTAAAAAACTACCATCACCAAGAAGGTAAAGGTATTTATAAACATGTGTTTACGTAAAATACTCCACATCCATTGATAAGAGACCAGATGCCAACTGAGGAAAAAATAAAAAGACGCTGCAAGTGGATAGTACATTATGCGAAAACCATCAAGCTACACAAAATAATTCATTACTTGAAATCCCCAAAGATAAATTATAAGAGGCAGATTAGAGAACACATGGTGCCAAAAATCGGAGTCAGAAATCAAGAGTGAGTTGCACCTGGGAGCACCGAAAAGGAGAGCTCAAGACAGAGTTAGTTAGGCATTTCTGGTCAACAGTCTATGCTCCTAACTAGCAACCGGGTTATTAAATAAATTAATAGGGATTTCCATGGTATATTATCTTTCCATTATCAGAATTCATATACAGAGTGATAATCTATAGTTCATAGAGGAAGGGCCACAGATTTTCTCAATATTTATGTTAGCTATTATTCATAATCTCTCGTTACATACATATTAGTTGCCTCCACATTGCATTCCCATTGGTTCTATCTTTGTAAATGTACATCTTTCTCGGAGAAATTGTTTATTGTTTCGTTATTTTTCGTGTATGTACATTTTAGGCTTTCTCTAATCTAACTAAGGCTACATGTCGTTCCCTATGCTCAGTCATGGTGCTAGCTATTGTTCGTGAAGCTGGTCAAATCGTATTGAATGATAATGAAGTATTGGACACTTGGTCTGTTGTGCTGAATGGGACTGTTGAGGTTAGTTGATAATTTAGCATATTCTTTTGTATTATGGTTGTACGAGCACACACCTACATGGTTTTTGTATATACCGTTCGATACGATAGTTACCACAATATTTCTAAGCTTAACACATGAAACAAAAAGATATCAACCAAAAAATTATCATCAGAAATTGTCAACCCTTTGCCCAAAACTGCGTATCCTGAGTAAGCCTGATTGCTTTGTAATAACAAGTAATTACATTTAATTGTTGTGTTTTCATTATTTATAGCTTATTATTACCAGTTCAAAGATCTCCACACCTACTGCAGTTCAGGCAGCCGGACACCATCATTAGTTCTCACAAAATGGAGGTGTGGTTCAAACCTGAGCACACGACTCCTGTACTTTCTTACTGAGTTACACAAAAATGAGTGAATTCGCCAATTTTGGGAAAAACACTACGGATACTGACCATTTATCTATCTATCTACATAATTTCTTTCAGTATTAACAATTTGTTTATTTGGGTCGTTTCACATTGTGTTTACCAATAAAAGTTAAAATCACAATGTATTTTCTTGTCTGTGTTTAACGTTGCCCATTCTCTTGTTAACTATTCATTGTCTCCTGTTTTGAAAATTGTTTTCCTCAGGTTATTGAACCAGACGATACAATTCGGGAATTAACTCGTGGTGATGCATTCGGTGTTCGTCTTGGTAAAACAGATTGTATTCATCATGGTGTAATGCGTACAGTCACTGAAGACTGTCACTTTTTATGTGTACCACAAACCGATTATGTAAATATTATGAGTCGTGAAGGAGAAGCTGAAATACCAGAGATGGGTGAAGGTGGACGTGTTGTCCTTGTCTATGAATCAATAAATTTAGACACAACTCTTAACATCGATTCGAATAAATCATCCAATGACAATAGTTCTGTGTTGTTGAAAAAATGTCGACTGGTCACAAAGGTTTGTTTTGAAGATTTTTGTTTAAAAAGGTCAATGAATTCAGAAAAATCGTTAACGTTACTTTTAACTAGAATCTATGGTTACATTTTAAATTAATTAACTAGTGAAGAATGATCTGAAAACGATTAGGGTATTGGGCAGCTGTTTTACCGTAGTTTAACTCCTTAAAAGTCTGCATCCACAACCATACATGGATGTGGATAGCTACACGAAATTTAACTCGGAAATAATGGGTTGATTCTATACTCAACCGTCCATATGTATTATGTTAACTGGGAGACATAAATGTCATAAAATTAACTCTTTATCAGGCCATGAGTTCACTCTACTCCGTAGTAGAAAATGTGAATAAAACAGTTCTGCAACACTTCCCAGTTGTCTATAAATCTTTACGTGTTATCATTCTGTTGGTGACAGACTTCAACTTTCTGTATTTACTAACCTACATGAAATCAGAAATTCTGTAGATTGTTATGTCATATTACTTCTAAAGTTTTTGTTATAAGACTTCGAAATCTGTTTCGTAGATGTAAGTAATAATAAAACTTTTCTTATTCAGTTAGGGAAATAATTCCTTACCCTTTAATTGTATTTTCAATTACCGTGTGTATCTATAGAAGTATGTATGTCTGGGATATGATATGATCGTTTATATTACGTCGGAGCTTGTGTTGAACCAGTTGTATTGATGTTTAGTAGTCAGTTTGCATGAAAAGAACACTGTTAACCAAAACCAGTCATCCCAAAAATTTTCCATCTTCACTGTATCACTATGGAAAACTTACTGAGTTAGTGTCTGTTTTTTCCATGATGTGTTTGATCAACCACAATTCTATAACAAACTGATCCAAGCATCCAACATTTAAATTTATTGTAGTGTTGGGGTGATAAACATTCTTAGTTATCAACAGTCAACTCACTTTAAAGATGATTGTTACATGTTAACTCACACTCTGTTACGTGAGTAGGTCTAACAAACATTCATCTTAACTGTTCACTATTGATGACGACGCTGGTGTCAGTTTGAAACCATGTACTTGCTAATGATTTCCTGTGTACAAAGAGTATACTTATCAAACATTGTTTCTGCTATTCTTGAAGAGATATGTTAGTACGTTATTACTTTTTCAGAATGTCGTAAAAATGTTTATCACATTTTTAAAGGATATGTTCATAATATCCTTTCAGTTATGAAGGAGCTCTCGTCAAGCAATCACGTATACTCCCCACGAAATTACTTGTTTAATGTAAATACTTGAATACATTCAACTTGTAATGAGTCATGTTGGTTGTAAATCAGTATTTTTTTAACTTTAGTTAAGTCACTATCTTTCACAAAATATGCACTGTCATTAGTAAACTATTTTAATTGTAAATTCGCATACATACAAACATCAATTATTCAATCTCTTCTGATATTGTTTTCGAACCAATATTTGATTGCTATTTTTGGTCAAATTATTTTAGGGCACACCGGAGAAACTAATTGAACATTTGATTGCTGATCTGTCCAATGGGGATATATCGTATCCAGAAGATTTTCTACTTACATATCGTACATTTTTAGATTCACCCCGACCAATAGTTGATCGTTTATTATCATGGCATTTGCATAATCCAAAGTTACGTACACGTGTTAATCGTATAATTTTATTATGGGTTCATAATCATTTTAATGATTTTGAGGATAATCATGATATGATGAAGTGCATTGAAAAATTTGATAATATGTTATCATCCGACGGCACGGGTAAGCGAGTGTATACTTCTGTGTGGATGATCATTTGTTTTATATTCAGTCAATAGAACATTGTTCAGATAATATTACCGGATAGTTTTATTACTAGTATGTAGCATCTTTAACCTAGCGATTTTAAGCATCAAGTGATTTCACAGGTTTGATTTCCACTCTGATATGACATAACACACCACCTACTTCCTCATGACCAACAGGATATCACCGTCTGTCACACAAATATTAAGGTCGACTACGCAAACCTTTAGTTGATAGATGAATTATATCAATTATTATTCTTGTTATCTTTCCATGTTAATGTTTCTGACAATTATTTGATTAGTCAAATGTCTAGTCGTTTCAAACCATTCATTTAGATCATTTTACTGATGATAAATCTTAATATCGTGTTCTGAACTTTGACCTCAACTTGTTCTGGGACTATCAGGAACACTACTCAGAGTCGGGTATAATGTTGGGAGTATTTGATTATGTAAATTATTGGATGGATGTTGTCGTTGGTAGTGGTCTTAAGGTTTATATGAAATTTACATCTACTGCCGTACAACATAGCTCATCTCCAGTTATCACTTACTTAGTTCAAATTAACTAGACTATCGATTCATTCGTCTGATGTTGAGTGTATCTATCAATTCATCTGGCGTAGTATAAATTAGTGAATATAAAGAACATCATAACGTTGATTTTTCAACGGACAACTTTTAGTGCGTTGTTCATCAATCTATCTCGACAAACTGTTGGTTTTGTGGTTTTCGTTTCTTATTTACACTCATTTAATAAGTACACGATTGTGTACTGGTCTTTGAGTCACATTACTTCCGGGTGAATTCAAGTGATATGTCCTTTTTCCTAACCCTAACGTTGGTGTTGCGAAGTTCTAACTATGGGATATGCTGACTGATAATGTTTATTTGTGATTTATTGGTCAGGATATTATGTTGTTTTGATTCGGACCAATGAACTATCGCCTTTGAATCAGACCATTCACATTAGAAAAAGGTTAAACTTCAAACTATGTATTTAGTACATTTTAGTGGCTCGTGGATCTGACTCCATTTAGATCGTACGAATGTTCGTTATCACCCATCCCCGTATACATTTGTCGACTTAAATCACGTTAGTCAATGACGGAATTTAGATAAGTCAATTAACGAGAATGGCATTTGAATACATATGTTTTGTATGTAAAGTGAATGTAATAGAACAAAGCGAAATGACGCGCATGGGAGATGGCTGGTAAGCCAACTCATTTTTAGCCAGGCGTTACGCAATATTTATAGGCAGACAAAATGAACTACAGACATGTGATGGGACATGGGATATGAAGTGTACACACATATACGCTCATATAAAAACAGTCAAGACTGATAAGCGAATAATTGACAAGGTCAAAATATGACTCAAGTAGAATGAGTAGATTGGTTTGTCCAGAAACTAGAATAGGATATTATGTGCTTAAAATAATGACTGACACTACACATTTACCCATCATTTTTGATAGTATTAAAGTATCAAACTATTTTGATTAATCACTAATGATTAAATAAATTCTTCACCTTTAATTATCTACGTAATGTGCGTTAGAGAATTCACGTAATTCATGTAAATTTGCATGGTGATCCATTACTTGTATGCAGAACTTTTTTATTATACATCTTTACCATACGTAATGTGCATGAAATACCTAAAACAGAATAAAATCATTACAAAAATAAACCAGTAGTGTCTTGATGTACACAGATTAGATCTGATTGCTGTTTAGCAATGTAATCACTTTTGTTAAACAATTTAGTTCTAAATCAATTCGTTTCAACTTTAGTGATTGGATATAGAGATTATGAGAGAGAAGAGGTATATGATCAAGACAGCATCATTTCATAATGTTATTGAATATTGGTCTCATCCACATAGGATGTTTCGGACTTATAGGTTGAAATGTGATGAGCTTAGGAACTTTAAATGATGTGGTTAAAAATACGTTGCAGTAATACAGATTTGTCCTTTCTTTATTTCATTGCAAGTGTTAGACTTAGTACTTTTATTTGTTCACATTTGCCTTCCTATTGACCTCGTCTTGTTGTGCTAATATGAACTGTGTCAACCTGAGCGGTTATATATTTCTGCTTAATCTTGTACGATTAATATTTGTTAGAGAAAATATACATCACATTAAAGTATGATAATGTTGGGATATTCAGAAAAATATCCTAAAAATTATCCTGTTAAGTCTAATGCTATCCTTGAACGTGAAATGGTGTCATTTTCCTATTGGTCAATTTTTATTTCACGTGTCATCTTCCTGTTGGCCAAATATTGTACAAATGTTATTTTCTATTTTGTGGTACGATGTGGTCTGTTTGGTTGATTTATAAACCGAGTATGTTTGAAATAAATGATTCATATCTCAAAGGCTGAGACTTGTGTTCTGAACTTGACTGGCTGGGCTAGGCGGAAAGCAAGGCCAATCAGAATTCTAGGCTGCTCATACGGGTTTGCGCCTTATTGATCCGATCGATAAGTCACTGCTCTTTAATCGGCGGTCACAAGATATGACAGATAACGAATCTAATATACGGCTTCCGATCTCTATGGAAATGAGAATCTCTCCCAACATAATAGCACTACATAGCTTTTTCATAAGTTTAAATGGCGCTCTTCAACGCCTCAAGAGATTGGAACGCTACGAGATACAATGTGCTCAAAAATAGGTTGTCGGTTCCTGTGACAACGTGAGAAACGACGGAGCTCGCGCTCTGCACGTTACTACCGTCCATAATTGGAAGAAAAGGTGCTCGTTCGTCAAGTCCTGACATTTTATATCAATTTTAAGGAATAAACGACCAACTATAACGAACTTAAAACTAGCTGTTTGATTGGACGAAACAGAATGAAAATTATTGGAAGATGGGGATGAAAAAAAGCTTTCATTCGAAAAAAATTGCCGTGCAAATAATGTTAACCCTAATCTGAAATCAGGATATCGGGAATAGATCGAGTAGTGTTCCGGTTGTCTTGTCTTCTCTCATTCGCGTGCTTTCAGCCAATCAGGTGGTAGAATAGTTTTCTTATCTCTACCCCACTTCGAGCTCACTTGTACTAGCCTCAAGGTTATATCGGTCAGCGTATGGCGCCAAGGTTTTAATCTAGATTACAAAAGTATCCTCAGCCCCAAATGTGGGTAGACAGATGAAGGACGTAACACCCAGATGTTTGCAGATCGTAGTGTTGTGTGACAGTCTGTTGAATAAACGCAAAATGATTAAATCGAATTCAGTGATTTTTTCCATATGAGTAAGAACCGCTTGGCTTACTTTGTTTACTACCATTTATCGTAAAACAATATATTTTATGGACGGTGTTTGTATCGGAGGAAATTTTCAATTTTGGAAAGAACACAAGCTCAGAATAATATGACTAGGTATATTGTTTTACTTTGCAAACTCGTTGCAACTAAGTAGTTTTTTTAGAAATGGGTATAAACAAAAAATCCGAACGAGATAACCAGGTTTGGGAAGAAACTCTTCGTCATCGATCTGTTCCCATCGTTATTTTTGGGTAGAAAAAGAATACAAGGTTGTAGGATCTCGAAAAAAACATTAACTGAAAAATTGTGCGAAAAATGGTAAAATTTCGGGAAGTAGAGTACCGTCGTATTTATATTGCAGTTGAATTTCTACTTCTTATTTCCAGAAAAAAATTCCTTCGTTTTTATTATCCTTACAGCTGGTGAGCGTCGTCTATTTCGTTTAGCCTGCAGCACCAAAGCTCGTCCACGTCAAGTCGAACTTATAATTCCGTTAAAAAATTCATGTCATTCAAATCCAGATAATAAATCGTTCGGAGTTGATGATGGTACTGGGTTTTTGTCATCAAATGGACAACACTTTGACAATAATTGTAATACAATAAATTCTCTCATTGATCTACCATTCACAATGATTGGTGGCGAGGATGGTTTTGGAGTGTTTATACATCAAGTGAGTGATTTGGGTTTCATCTGTTCCTGTTACGCATTTACCAATGGATCATTTGATTACCTATTTAATTGTAAAGTTATATATATATATATATATATATATATATATATATAGAGAGAGAGAGAGAGAGAGAGAGAGAGAGTAAAACGTTTAAACGTCCTACAAACTTAGTCAATCATAGCAAAATGTTGGACTGGGTACTTATTTGTATAGATCAGAATTGTTGTTTCAATTCTCAACAAGATAAGAAATACATGTTATAGAGTGTAAGTTTAGGACAAAATCGACGAACCGAAGGTATGAAAAAGAAATGAAACTCAATTTGACATCCGAAAGTTACTTGATCACATTTCTGGTTAACTTAACTTAGTAACACGATAATAAAACGAGTGTAATATTCATCTTCAAAATTTCTTTGAGTCCCTTATAATTCCTTTAGGAATTCTCTATCATCAGGGCAAAATACGGAAAATCGACAATCAACGCTTTTTGTAAAACTGTAAGAATATATTATACGTTCGACCATACTTTTCCAACCTTATTGCAAAACTCCCAAGATTTCTGCTAATCTTTATATTCTTTTCCTTAGGTTTTTAGAATCTCAAGTTCGCCCATGATCCTGTGAGAAACTTCTGTCAGTCATGGAGATAAGAAAGGTATTAGGAGGTGTAGGAAGGATTTGAATGTGACCAACTTGGTCTCTTGTGTTGTTACGGGTATGAGGGCTGATATCACTTCCCGGATACCCACACCGTGGAAGGATATTTCTTGAGGAACCTGAAAAGGAAATTGGATTAATGTTGGCCTTAACGACCTGGAAGCGTGACCGCAGAGCCCAAGGGACAACTGCTTGAGGTCGGTCGTGCACGACCTTTTCATGGGAGGTTTTTAATGTGTTAGCTCCGTTCTTCTAAAAGTCTTACCGCCGGAGACTTAACCTTCGAAGTAATCCTTCTCCTATACTCTTCGCCTTTCGTTTTGCTCTTTTCGGTATTTAAGACTGAAAAATTTCTTTATCAACGGTTTATTTAATACGTAGCAACTAAATAGTCCAAAGCTGTACATTGATGTTCAGCTTTTCACCTTCACTGTTCTCTCATTTCATTAGTGAACATTGGATTTCAGACTAAATACAAATTGCATTTTGACAAGTTTTTTTCTGTTGTGCTCATCGTGATTGTGCTTGATGGCGAGATTTTCTTGCTTACTGTAAGTTATTTGGTCTATATTTATTTGTTAGGGTATAATCTTATTGTGTACATCTTTCATCCAATGTACAGATAGGGAAAATAGTAGTGTTTTTCATGTCTATTGTTAAATGACAGCATCTTCTGTGTCTTCTAAGTAAATGCATCAGTACCTCCTCAAACTATTTCTCAATATGTGTTACCCACCGTTTATTTTAAGCAGTATATAATCAACACTTCTGTAAGTTTTTATCGTTAAATATTTTTACCGTTTATTTTCTGATTGCGCACTCAAGGTATATAGTTTAGTCTCAAACAATAATTCTGAAGCAAGTTGTGATGAGCACACAAACGAAAAATATCTCACTAATCCATCTTCATTATCATTATCATCACCATGCGACTCAAGCTATCCACCATCATCAACAACATGTGTACTTCCTAATTTTTCATTTGTACATAATCAAATACGTCGGGCTGACCAATTATTATCAGTGAATGGTCGTTCAGTAGAACATTTAAAACCATCTGATGTCATACAACTAATTAATTCAATGATAAACGCATGTTGTCCAGTGGATATTAAAACTAGATCAAATACCAAACTAGTATCTGGTACCAGTGGATCATTGTCTCCTTCGACTACACATTATTCAACCGGTATAGACAATGATACTATGCTAGATCATTCCAAATCATCTACATTATCGTCAGTCATCAGTGTTACTTTCAACCTCCGTTTGTTAGTTATTTTTAATCCAGTTCGTAAGTGAAATCATCTGTTACAGTTCAATTTTCCATGCATTACTTTTCAATAAATGCGTAAACTAGAAACCAAGTAAATCTCTGCCTTTCTGTTGAATTGTTTTAGATGTATGGCAATACATTTTTTTCATCTCATCGACTTTCGAATTCCTTTTTCTAGTGTATAGACTAGTGACAATATTCAATCTTCCTAATCGAAGAAGATATGGCTGGCTACGAACCTACGTCCCAACGGTTTAAAGTCGGAAGCTCTGACCATTAAGCCACAGTCGTCGCTAATCACTTGATGGATAATGAAGTGATATTAGCTTCCATGCTACAAAATTTTAAACACCTCCTACTTAAGGAGACGCTTGTTGACATTTAACATGAGAATAAGTTAGATATCCATTGCAAGACAGACAGACAAAGATGTGATACTTGTTGTTGTGGTTGTATATCGCTTTATGCCTTTTAAACCATACTGCTTCATGTTTGCTCAACTTATAGTTCTTAACAGCTAACGTATTTATGATAACTTTTTAGAGTCTCACTAGTTTGAGAATATTTTCTTTCTCAGATGAAATGCAAAGTTCTGTTCCAAATACAAAATTCAGTATATCGTCGTTGGTTGACTCACTTCATGCTAGTATGCTAATATTTAGAAGTGTGTGTGAATTACTCATCGAAATTCATAAAATTGTCGACCTGTCTGACGGCTTTCAATAACCAGGTTAATGATCTTTTGTGCTTGAAATAATGTTTGGTGGCTCATTATCGTCAGATTTTTCGGCTCCTAGCAAACGTAATTAGAAATTCAAACTTTCAGAAACAAACTACAAATTTGCTAGTTTGTAAAGTCTTCATTTGATAATATGGCGAAACACTAAGTTTATAAACATTTAATATGGCTTTGATTTCCAAACTGTTCCAAAATATACCTGCGTTAAATTACTGTTAAGTAAAAAAATTAACTGAGTATTTTTCCTGATATTTTTAAAACGTTCACAGTAACACACACATTTGTGTATTTTAATAAATGTAAAGTTATATTCTCATGTTTCCCAATATTATGGTTATTTTCCTATACGTTTATTTAAATTATGTAGTTTAATATCTTTCCTAAACTCGAAAAATTGCTGTTAAATTTGAACAAAAATTCATATCAAATAAAAAATTAATCTGTGAAATGTTCCCATTCATTTTATGAATAGCTGGATAAATTTAAGATTCCATATTAATTTTTTCATACGTCACAAAATTTTGTTAAACTAGTAACAGAATTTGTTGTTGTCGGCTTCGTCGTAGTCGTAACAGTCATACTGAGTTTTGTCGTGAAACGTAGTTCTTATCAGTGGATTTTGATTTTCTATACGTTGTATCCGATAATATGTAACTCCACATTTTTAATCGCTAGGTATTTCATCCGAGTTCCGTTGGAAAAGTCATCACTTGACATTCCAGGTACAGGAGGCCACCGAAGTCAAAATATAGTGAAACAAGTCTCTTCAGCAAGCATTGCAATACAAAAATACCTAACAATCATAATGTTATTATTAAGTATGATTTGATGTTCTACTATAATGGTTTTTATGTCACTGTTTATGTATGTGTTTGTGTGTGTGGGTAAATCACAATGATTAGTTCAATCTGTTGACTCATTTGAAATTGACATTTCGCATATGTATCAATAACTGGCCATAACTTGTAAGGAACACATTTGATGTAGAACTTAATTACATGTTTTTCCTATTACGTATAATTTTTTTCAAACAGAGTATTATCAAGCTATTAACTCTTTAAATACGACACATACTGCTCAAACTTTGATGAGGCCGATCAGTGAAACAATAAATGCTTATCAAATTGTTGACGATGTAAAAAACCACGTGAACAAATCTACACCATCATCAAACATCACATTGAATAATCACAATGGTAATAATGAAATTTGTCGACTGAAAATGCATAGTTTGTAAGTTGTGAATTTATTTATTGTATATGGTATTTTCTTCATTTACTTTTTGCTTCTTGTTACTAGTAGTTCCCTCTGAATTGTTGGGTTGGGTCTATTGTATATATTAACTGTACTATGTGACAGTGGTTTCTTTCCCAAATAATTCCATTGCTACTTTTAACCACAAGCAAAATTTGTTTTATTTTGTAGACAATAAAGCAAACTTCATATTAGATTTGTAGTTCTTTAAGTTCATCTTACATATTCAAATTTAAGGATAACTTTTATTACAAAGTAACTATGAGATGAAAAATTATTGGAAACCAAGAAGTTCTACATGTCTGATTTGCAATTTCGACTTTATCATCAAGTGACTGAAGTTGAAAATGTGGCTGAACCATTAAGTTTCAACCCAAAGTTTTGAAGTCAACACTTGTTACGAGACCTGAAGTTCATGTATTTTGAATCCCCATCAGAAGACTCACTTATTGACTTAAAATCTACAGGTATCAAACACGGTTGCCTACTTTGCCTTTTCTCTTTCTGCTGGTTGTAGACTCAATTATTGAGACCTCTACAATTCAGAAGCACAGAATACAGTGAACAACTTGAGTGGAACTGGACAACTTGAACTTTGAAGATGACTTGACTCTCCTATCCCATCGACAGCAACAAATGCAGGTGAAGATATTCAGTATGACAGTAACTTCCACAACAGTAGGCTTCAACATTCACAAGGGAAAAGCAAGATCCTGAAATACAACACAGCGAGCACCAATCAAATCACATTTGGTGGTAAGGCTCTGGAAGAAGCGGAAGCCTTTACGTGCCTGAACAGCATATTCGATGAATATGGAGTATCTGATGCAGACATGAGGGTATGAATTACCAAAACAGGTGAACGTTCCTATAATTGAATATCTGTCACACAACACCAAAGTCATAATTTCAACAACAACAACAACGTCTAAACAGTTCTACTGTGCGGAGTTGGAGTGTGGAGAACTACTACCATCATTGCCAAAAAGGTGCAGGTGTCTATGCAAAATACTACAGATCCGTTGAACAGAAACCGTTAGCAATAATCGACTGTGGTAGAGAACAATTCAGATGTCTACTGAGAGGAAAATCAGGAAACAATGTTGGAGGTGGGTAGGATACACATTGAGGAAACCATCAAACTGCATCAAAGGGCAAGGCTCAATATGGAATCCTCGAAGGAAAAGGAAAAGAAGCATACCAGAGGACATATGATGCCGGGATTCGTAGGTAGATATCAAGAGAGTGAATAGCGCTTAGGGACAACCTGAAAGAGGAGCCTGAAAAAGAGTTGCTCCGAGGTCCTTAGTCGGAGGCCTATAAGCTCACAACAGTAACAGGCATGAGTAAGTAAGTTATAATACACGGACGTCGAGAGGAAGGGTATTATATGCTCAGTATGGTTTGGCGACGTGTCCCTCTATTACTTCCTTTGTTCATGTGTGCATAGATCTTGTGATTTATGAACCGTATCCTCTGTTTTATGTTGTCATCTCTTCGTTGTACTTATAGTTAGTATGTGTGTTTTTATCATTGTGAATGGCTGATGCAATATTTAATTTTTCCACTTCTTATGAAACTTTTGACTTATGTTCTACACCTGGAAAATAGATGATTTGAAACAGAAAGAGTTGAATCATCTGCTCTTCTGTGGATTGAGTGTGAATATGTCTCGTCCTTGTGTTTGTTTTAAACGTTTAGTTTGGTGCTTATTATTAAATTAATCCTTTCAGTGATGTTACACGGTTTGATAAATTTACTAGAAGTTGGAAGTTGTTAATATTACATGTACCACTCTTTCACAGTACACATTTTGTGAAATACAATTGCAATCCTGTAATTTTACCACAGTAAATAGGCATTGAAATACACGGAAAAATTGCGAAGAATGTTTAATGTTAGTTATCGAATACGACGTTTCAATGATTTTGACCTTGGTATGCTAGATTCAACACTTAATCGACTAATGTAATGTAAAGATAAGGTCGAATAAATCATATTATTTGCCTAATTTCATAAGAGTCATGTATTTACTAATTTTGAAATGGATTACTGAATGCTCTAATGGTGGAAAGTAACCGTGAACTATGAAATCAATTATTTATAGAGAGTAAAGTAGTTACATCCGTGATGACATGGTATGATGGTCGAGAAATATCATAAATTGATTGGAAGTGAAAATAATAGTCACTGGGGTTTGTGTGGACATTATTTTTGGTGATTTATTATGACAAAACTACTAAGTGTCATAAATAAGAAAAATGAGGGATTTCAACTCAATGACATAGCTTTCAATTTAATGGGAATATCGAAACAGATAAATGAGAATACGTACATACACATACAAACACCATCGATCTAATAGTGACGATAGCTGTTCAATGTGTCCATACATCAGTTTCACATTTTATTGATAAGTTGGAATTATCTTTAAATCGTGGAAATGTTTGTAGAAAACATCGATGATAAGGAGTACCCGTTAATCTGTTAGTGAAGAGGACAAAGAGAGGTCCCTATTATTGAACTTAATAGAAATTCACTTGTCACAGCAAACCAGTTTGACAAAACGGAGGAGACGCTAGTAGTTTTTGGTAATCTCTCAGTAAGGTAGTCGTGTAAGCAATTTGAGAAAGAAATCATGGATACATACAGGTTTTAATTTGTAGTGTGTCCCACTTAATCCTCTCTCTTTTTACGATCGACATATCTCTCTACGTACTAATTCTTTCTTCCTGTACTATATCCTTATATGCAATCTTTCTTTTATATATTACCATCATTGAATTAACTACTTCTATGAATCCGGTGTTCATCTTGTTGTGCTAATGCCCGTATGGCAACTTGGACCGATGCATATATGTGCCTGGTCCTACGTTATAGCTGACTGACGAATTTCGAGTACACAATTGGTGAATTAGTGAACAATAGGATCTCTAGTGTTGTTATAGGTAGGATAGGGACAAACGAAGACATGGGATCAGTCCATGAAGACGTTGACTATTGAACTGAGCCATGTGGGTAGGTACAGACTACTTGGTTAGCGTCCGCGTGATTATTGTAACCGATGGTTAGAGACTTTGGGTGACATGGATCAAAATGGTTTGTGATGGAGCAGGCACATTCACTCTTCGTCTTCTCTTAAATTGTAACTTTCTAAATTACCCTATGAATTTTTTATTCCACTAGTCCATATTCTTTTCCCAAATCCTATCTAAAATGCTAAATCTTTTCAACCGCCGTCAATGCTGTTACTATATGTACTACTTTGGGATTTATCTTGACAATTTCGTCTCGCTGTGCTAATAGGGTGTAGCAACTTGGATCAATGTACACGTGTCAGGTTCGACATTACTTATGACTGACTGGTCAGCGAATTCGTCAATTTAGAGATATGTTTACACAAACAATAAAACTCAGTGTTCACAAACAAAAACACTATAAGAATGACAGTTAGAAGAATATTAAACAATGAAGTCAACACCGCGGACACTTGAAATGACATGCAACTCAATTAATAAAAATTATCCATCATCCTCTTTTGCTATACATATAATTGAAACAGGTCATAAAATTGATCTAAACTCGGCTTTTGTGGTGTTGTATAAAGGTGCGAAAAGGCGCTTACTAAGATTTATTGAAGCCTTAACCATACGAAAATTCAAACCCCCTTTATGCGTTCAAAAACAGTTTGTTCTTACCTTAAACCTACCCTGGTAATATTGACTTATTATCCAGAGTGATTAGGTTTTGAGTTGTGTTCACATTATTATTATTATCCCTTTCTCCTCTTACCCCGTTTCCAGTCTACTTGACCTTTTATTTTTATATATAAATGCTGTTAACAAGTATATGAGTGATAAGATTGTTCGAAATGTATTGCGCTGATGTATCACATAGTTCTGATAATCTTCGTCTTATTTGTTTTATCTCCTTTAATGGTTATTAAGTCAGTTGAGTTAAAGGGTCCTTCCTGAATTATTATTATTATTATTATTATTATTATTATTATTATTATTATTATTATTAATGGCTTTATTCAATACTATATTTTGGTACAATATAGAATTCTCAGCACAGGTTATTTCAACAAGTTACTTACGCAACAACAACAAAAACAGTAACAAATACAAAAAAATAAAAAGTTTTTAAAAAAAAACCGAATAACTGTACAACTTTTAAAATTAAGGACATGTTAAGAATGCAGGTTATTGACTAGGTTAACTCTAACAACCTGTTCGTCACAGAGTATATTTGCTAGGTAAGGTATTATAGAACTTTTATACTTTTGCTTGCGTGCATGGATTTTAATGTAATTACGTCTCGTTCTACCAGAAGATATACAAGGAGAAAGATAAGAGTGAAGGGGTTGGCTAGTATCTGATAAAATAACACCTGCCAGGAGTTTGCATGATTTTAAATGTCTATCCACAACCATATTAATTATGACCTCGGAAGATTCACCGCACATCTTGCTAACTGCCTTCAGCGCTCTCCGCAATACAGCAAAGTCTCTCAAAAGCCCGGGAAAAAATAATGGAGAACAGTAAAGTATAGTAGATAATATGCAAGAATTGACAAATTGTAAGAGTAAATGACGAGTAATCCCAAGAGCATGCAATCTCTTTATGTGGTAGGTCAGACGGAAAACCTTCTTCGATAACAATAAAAAGTTGGAAGACCTAGACAGATCAGAGGAAAAGGTGACACCAAGATAATTGACCTTCGACACTGTGTATATCAAAGAGTCTCCGATTGTACAAGCATTATGAAATCTCAAAATGGTGTTTAGATTCCGTTCATGTCTCATGCTAAAGTTAACAGCTTGGTATTTAGACGGATTAGGTATGAGACCATTGCCAATAGAACAATAATCAATACGAGACAAAAACTCATTCATTTCTATGGGATGTAAAGAGAAAGAGATAGGCATACATACAGTGAGATCATCCACATATTTCACAAAAGTGTTTTCTGTGGAAGATGGCAGATCATGCGGAAAAAAAGGAGAAAAGAAGAGGTGAAAGAACAGCTCTCTGTGGTACACCTTCATAAGACAGTAGTGACTCTGAACACTTTCCTCCAAACACAATGTACTGTTCCCTTCCAGAGAGGTAGGAACATAGCCAGTTGGTTATCCAGCTGTCAGTGTTGACGCTGATTAACTTGTTAAGTAAACGTTGTCTTGGTATAGAATCAAAAGCTGAAGTATAGTCCAGAAAAGCACATCGAACATACTTGTTACCCTTTTCTAAGTTGAACACTATGTTATGATGCAGAACAGCAACTGCATCTAAAGTGCTTCTGCGTCTGTAAGCAAATTGGTATGGATCAATATGCTCTTTTATCTCAGGCTGAAGTGGAAGTATTAATAATTTTTCCATTGTTTTGAGGAAGGGTGAAGTTATTGCAATAGGTCTAAATTTTACATTCTTATCACCAGATGCTTTCTTGGGTACAGGAATTATCTTCATTTTTCCCCACATTTTCGGTATGAGATTAGATGAGAAGGATCTGTTAAAGATAGTTGTGAACGGATAACATAGGACGTCAGCACACTTTTTAAAAAGGATGTTTGGGATACCATCAGGTCCCAAACATCGTCATCATTCCTTGCTAAAAATGTATAGGATTATCTGTTTTATTATACTTTTCAAAAATGTTGGATATCATCTACTTGTTTTTCACTGGGTTTTATCTCTCTAACGATTTGGTGTTCATCAATTTTAATGAATGTAATCAGGCCTCTTGTAACTATCTGTCCGCTATTACCGTATACTTCTACAAATGAACCGGAATATTTTTGTCATCCAAAAAATCTCCAGTCATTGGAACAATCCACGTACGTATATATTCAGATAAATATTTAAACGAAATATTGCATGCATCTACACAGTATTCGGAGAATACTGTTGAATTCAACGTATTCTGAGATCTGCTTGATTACCTTCCGATGTTTGTTGCATCTATTTTTTTCAAATTTAACTACCATCATTTTTGCATGCATTTACTATCATATACATCACATGTTTTCACAATAGTTGTCATTTGAGTGAGATTAATTCTTCAAATGTATGTTAACATAGTTTTGTAAGTTGGTTGCTGTTCGTAACTTACTTACTTACGCCCGTTACTCCCAATGTAGCATAGGCCATCGACCAGCATTCTCCAACTCACTCTGTCCTGGGACTTCCTTTCCAATTCTATCCAACTTTTGTTCATTTTTCTCATGTCTGTCTCCATTTCCCGGCGTAATGTGTTCTTTGGTCTTCCTCTTGTTCTTTTGCCTTGAGGTTCCATTTGAGGGTTTGCTTTGTGATCCAGCTGGGTGCTTTCCTCAATGTGTTTCCTATCCACTTCCTAATTTCTTCCTCCGCTGGGATCTGGTTTGTTATCTCCCACAGTAGGTTGTTGCTGATAGTGTCCGGCCAACGGATCCGAAGTATTTTGCGTAGACGGCTGTTAATAATAAACACTTGTGTCTTCTGGATGATGTCTTTCGTAGTTCTCCAAATAATAAAACTACTAGACTAATGCTTGTATTAGTGAAGGCGAAATCAATGTGTATAACTTTTATCTGAAACGCCTAGATATTTCGTTACAATAGGCCATTGAAACATGAACTGTTAATATGAAAAAACAAGAATATTGTCATATAATCGATAAATAAGTGAACCAAAATAATATTTATTGTATGGTATAATTCAATTAGGAAAGGAAACCGATATGAATTTCGTTCAATTAAAAATGTTCATTATAACTTTTGTAAAAAACATCTTAGAAAGCTAGTACAAGATTGATAGCGGTTACTATTTGGGTGGATATTCGATAACATTTCCAGTTATTAGATTGCATAATCTCTCAATCATTAACTACTTAGGCATGATGAATCAAAAGGTATAGTAGTCTTATCTTTCATTACATAACTCCTCATATCCTAAACCGATCACTTCTACCCTTTTTTCATCTACTTCCGTAGTCAACAAAACTCTACACACGGTAACGACTTAAAACCACCAGCCATATCTAACATACTATGGAATTATTAGCCTGCGTTATGCCAACATCGTCTATCATTATAATGACCTAGTTAAATGAAGTTTGATTCGATCACTCACGTACATTCATTTACACAACATACTTACTGTATGTCAAGTATCTATTCAAACAAAATAGTTTTATGTTCACATAAAATATTTATTGATTTATGTGCATTCATTCTACTTTTCCAGACAAACATCGAATACTGGATTGCGTTGATTATGTTTGATAATTAGTGGATGGTCAACGTTTTTAGCCTAAAAGCTTGGTATGTGCTGGTCTTTAGGAACTTATGCGTAGTAATAAACCTACCAAGTAATCGAACTGATCTAATGAAAAATCAGCCATTAAACCAAGAAACACAAAGCTTATTGAATTTCCGTGATTCATGTGTACAATAGAATGTACGAGTTTAAAGAAGAAAATAACAATAAAACAACAATGTCAACAAAAGTTATTAGTTAGCAATAATGTTTATACACATGATAAAAATGTAGTCCATTGAATTAGTTAACCGAGGATATTTCAACAGCATGTAATCTTTCACTATATTAACTGCGATGTGTATATACTTCAAAGAAAAGCAATTAGTACATTTGTTTTTGTAATGTCATTATAAAACTATTAAGAATGAATGAATAACAGTCATAGTGTTACTTGTCCACTAAATATCAATTTATTTATTTGAATTTCAGACACATTATTTGTGTCAGAGCTAGTGATACTTACTACTCGACCTTTCAATTGTAATAATCGAGGTTAGGTTACGAACCTACATACTTTTAGTTGAAGCGTTAGTGCTTTAATCACTAAACCCCCACCATTTACAATCTTGTTTATCCAGCTTCAAGTCATACATTAGGTGCTTATTCGTGTGCATGATACTATTTAATTGCAAAACCCGAAATAAGTAGAGAAAGATCTAGCTGCTTAAATTGGTTGGTTTTAATTATTAAGGTCCATTGTTTTGTATGTAAGAAACAAGTGGTGGTGTTCATCAATTTGAAGTTTGAGTAATAGTGAGATGAGTTCCAAAAACACCAACTAATTTGAATGATGTGATAAGTATCAGTATTAGGAGTAATAGTAGTAGTGGAATTCTCTTCACAGTTATCTTTCACCATTGGTTTCTCTATTTTGCCAACCGCTTAGACCGAAGGGTAATTATATCCTTTATGTATTGTATTAACTATAATTTAGTATATATATATACACGTTATAAACGGTTATTTCTGAATTATAGTGTCATTCTTTAAGATTGTGTAGCCTGATGATTTGTCGTACATTTTTGCACCATAACGATGACAACCAAGATATTTTTTGTATTCATGTATAGACCAACTAGTATAAGCATACCTGATGATCTTCTTAAGAAGTCAAATTATCCTCAACAACAACAGTCTTCTTCAACTGTAACACTACCGAAAATGCCAACACCATGCTCCTTTTCTACGGTCAGTACTCTCTCTACTTATCCGGGTAACAATTCAATTGGAAGACGTGGTCGAAACTTTCAGCCTTCACATGTTACATCGGTCGTTCTTCTCACAGTGCAGATACATCACCGACTCGATTATCACATCCTCATGAAGATAGTCAAGTGTTTTATAAGACATCAATAACTGACAGTAGTAAACAGGTAAATTATTGTTGTAAATAATCTTCAGTTTTGAAAATTTATTACTCACTGTGTATTGAATTTATGACTACTTTTCTTAACGTTTAGGATTTTTCTGTATTAATGACTAAGAAGCAAATAGAGCAATCCCTATCTTAAACTTTTAAAGCTAAATCCTTACTCTCAATGAACAGACTTTTTTAAAGATAATTAAATGTTCCTCATGAGTCTAGATTTATTCATTGAATGTTTCGAAACATCAAAGCATGATGGAGTTTACACATGCTAAAAAGGGCTAGAAGAGGTTTGAACAGAACATGAATGATTCATATAGAGACGTTAGTTAATTACGAATGTCAAGTTTGAAAATGATGGTGGTTCATAATGTGTTCTTGTAAGTGAATATGTATTTACATAATCAGTATGTTTGTCTGCACTTTATCCACTGTTGTGAAATGCTCTGAGATCTCAACCCTTAACCATTAGGTCACAGGTTTAAACACTACTCCAGTTACTTTGGCTTAAACAGAGGTTTTAATACCATGTATTGGACTTTATGAAAATGAAATATGGCTTTAAGTTGAAAGTATGAACATGTGTTTGAGTGGCATTTTTTACTTCAAAACACTTTATGTATGTTTTTAAATATGTGTGTATATTATTTTAATTCACTTCATATGGATAACTTTGTATTACATTATCGTAATCTAGCAATACGTGATAAATGGTTTGTTCTTAGTTGTTGTTGTCTTATTTTTTAATGTTTCAACCATCTAGTCATCCATTTCCCAGTCACATTGGTCACATTCACTTAAAGATCATACCACCACCGATAATCGAAGTAATAATAGCAATGATTTATGTCGACCGTACGAACAACATCCATCCAATAACACATTCAGCAGTAGTGCGAAAACAGCCAATCATAATTACTTCCCACCAACACCACCACTGCAAAGATCGTCATCACAGCCGGATTTAATAATGCTGGACAAATCATTAATATCTGGTAGTAATGTTGCTGCTACAGTCAGTGACTATATTACCGTTCTTCACCAAAATCAACATAATTTAACTGATAGTGTCAAATATTCAGGCTTAAATTCTGGTAGTAATAATATTACTCACACGGACCATTTGTCAGTGATACGTGTATGGCGATCAAGTGATAATGGAAAAGATCATTCTAGTAAGCTGATTATATTACCAAGTAGACACACTAATGCATACGAAGCGACACGTTTATGCATGGAGGAATTCAGTATACCGGTAGAGGACCAACATTCTTATCGCTTATACCATGTATGTCTAATGTTTATTTTTCTTTCATAGTGATTAAGAATAATAATAATAATCGTAAGTCTTCATCACATTATTTCTTATTGCGTAGACGTTTGTTATGTTATTGAGGTTAGAAAAAACCACTCACGCAAAATGAATAAAGAATTTATAGCTTTCAAACGATTAAAAATGCGAAGACAACAATCGTTCTGTGAAACAAATACTTATTATTTCAGTAAAATATGTACATTGATATGCAAAATACTTAGATCATCATTAACTTAATAAGAAATCATACTGAGATTTAAAATTTCTTTCCAGTAGATAACTTACACTTACCAACTAATTATAAATGAGCATTTAACTAAGGGATTTAATAATTCATTGAAAATTCGTTAAAGTATGCAGATTAATAAACAAATGTTCACAATTAATATTTCCGACAGTTGCTGCTGCAATTAATACTGAATGAATTTAAAAATGCTACAAAGTATGTACAAATTAGGTAACAATATATTGTTTTTGTTGTGATGCATACAATAATTTATCATTGAATTAGTTACTTACCTATTTGTCACACACTTGTCTCTCCTTTTTCATTCAACTTGTCGTAATCAATTCTAAACAGGTATCTGCAACTCGCTGTTGTCCAAATAAACAGCCAGTCGGCAGTCAGCCACAATGTTGGACCAAGCACATAAATGCATCGGTCCAAGTTGCCATACCTCATTAACACAAAAATATGGACACCGGATTCATAAAAGTAGTTAATTCAGAGGTGGTAATATATAAAAGAAAGATTGCAATAAGGATATAGTACAGAAAGAAAGAATTAGTTCGTAGAAAGAAAGATATGAAGCGATTTTAATCTCTTAGTTTAAGGGAAGACAAAGAGTGTATACACCTACGCCATTGTGATCGATTCTGAGCCATGTCACCAAGAGTCTCCAACCATTTGTTACGATAGTCACGCGGACCCCAACCAAGTAGTGTGCATCTACCAACATGGCTAAGACTAGAAGTTAGTGAAATCAAGCACTGATGCCACGTTTTGGTTTGGCCACCCCTAACTTTCTTCCGACCATTCCGAACACTGGTTAGCATTGCACGTCGTGGTAATCGGTGTTCAGGTATACGCAACAAGTGGTCCAATCATCTCAGTCGATGAAGATTCACAACCTCATCAACTGATTTACCATCATTCTCTAATACTCTGCGTCTAACCTCACTATTACTTACCCGATGATCCCAGCAGATGTTGGCAATATTTCTAAGGCATCTGTGATCAAATACTAGTAACCCACAAGTATTTTCTACTCTTAATGGCCACGTTTCTCAGCTGTAAAGTCAACTTAATCGCTAAAAATAGACCACCATACTTAATGACCTCTGGAGCCAATCCATCTCGACCAGCTGATCTTACTCTTTTCAGATTAGCTACAGAGTTTTGAACTTCAGCTGGAGTCGGGAGACCTACTTCAATGTTCCATTCACTCTGTCTGGGAATTGTGGGTATTTGTAGGGTAGCTGAAGGCCAGCAGAGTTACTCCTTAAAATGTCCCACCCATCGTTCTAAACGTCTGGACTGGGATCAGATAAGAGTGTCGTTTTTTTCCGAGATAGTCTCACTTACACTTGACTTTTTAGTTCCTGTTTCTTTTATGAATCTGAAGAGCTGTCTTGCGTTACCTACATCCGCCACCGCCTTTTCCATCTCTTTTGCTTTCGTTGCCCACCACTGCTTATGGTCGTTCGTTGGACTTTTGGTTAACCTAGATCTTATTTGCTTTCGCTCTTCATCATTTTCAGAGCCTGATGGGATGAGTTTACGAGAATCCATCATTGCAACAGACCTAGAAGAAATCCATTGGTTTAAATCATTAACAGATATCACTGCTGTTTCCACAGTTGTTTGTATATCTTTCCAAATAACATCTGGTTCAGTATCGTTTTCAGAACTACCGAAATGTGACCTTAGTGTTTCCTGTAATCTACTTTCGGCTTTCTCATCACTCAATTCAATTCCAATGGGTTTTCTTAGTGAGGCTTTCATGCGTCCAGTGAGGCGCAAGCAAATGCATCCCCGTATTAGAGCATGATCGCAGTCCAAACAGGCATTCCAGAACAAGTGACAATCTTCTATTGACCCTCTCCAACGATGACTGATGGCAATGTGGTCTATTGGAGTCCATCGTTGGTTTGGTGCATGGGGTCTCCATGTTAGACGATCGTCTGAGCACAGTTTCAGCAGACGATCACCATTTTCTGTTCACTGGGCCGGAATACTAAAATATCCACCAAAATGTCTTTCTGCTTGGTTTAAGCTACCTACTTGGGTATTAAAGTCACCTGCTACGACTACTATGTCTGAACGTTTAGCTTTCTGAACTTCTTCTGAAAGCTTTCTGTAAAATTCATCTTTCACTTTATTCGAGCTGCAGCCAGTGGGAGCGTAGGCAGGAACGACGGAAACGCAACGAATTGTGTCTCTATCCTTCTGAGTTCTTACGGAGGATGTACCTCGTCCACACTCGGTTTTGGCGAGTTGAGGTCAAGTGAATAACCATACTAAGATCACGATAGGGAAGCCCGACTACCACGTCAGGGTAGCAGAAACGGTCAGGCACGAACTTCCAATGATTTCAAACATCTGAAGAATGCAAAATTCATTTATTGTTTCTCGACTTGAAATTCTTTGAAGAGACTAGATACAAATAGTTTTTTTTCCCTAAAACATACAATTACTGTTAATATTTATGGAAAAATCAATTAGGAAACTAAGGAACTCTTAAAGTCTATTGCGCGTTACAAAACGTCTTTCATCTAATTTCCATTAGTCAGTCAATCAGAGGTCACTTAGTTCATGGTGCGTCATTACAATGGCTCAAGTTACCATACTCCATTAGAATGGCGAGATTAAATTGTCAGGCCAAATCCCAGAATAACAGAAGTGGTAACATTATCAGTGGTGATTGAAAATGTTAAGCATCGGAGATGTGATCCAAGTAAATTTAAATTATTGAAATGGAAACACAAGAAAAGTTATGAGGAATTTAGAAGCTCATAATTTGGAGGAAGACAAAGAATAGATACACCTGCGCCATTACAGATGATTTTGAGCCATGTCACTGAAAGTCTCTAACCATTGATTACGTTAATCATGCAGACGCCAACCAACTAGTCTACACTCGATTGACATGGTTCAGTCCAATCGCCGATAACTTCATGGACTGGTGTCATGTTTTGGTCTGGCCGCCTCCAGCTTTCTTCCAGCTTAGTCCTACACAGACAACATCTCTCATCGAGGTAGGCGGTGGTTGATGAAGATTTACTACCTCATCAGTCGGTTTGCCATCCTTACCTAGTACCCTATTCCTGACCCAGGCACCGCTTACTCTGTGTGCCGAACATACGCGAGCGATGCTTCGAAGACACTGACGATTGAATACCAGTAGTAACTTACAAATATTCTTTACTTTTAATAGCCAGGTTTCACAGTCATAAGTTAGAAGTCCACTGAACTTTTAGAATTTGTGCCAAGACTTTGTCAGATACCAACCTGTCAGGATTGATTAGGCTGTAAAAATAATCGGAGGTCGATGTGCTCAACTACTTCACTCCCTATTCTTAGTTCAGGCGTCAACACAGACTAGTCCTATAGTAACATTTTGCATTTGGGTTGAGAGGACTGCATCCAGAACATGCTTGGATTGTTGCTTAAAGTGGCCAGCGTCTTCACCAAAAAGAACTGTGTATCTGCGTATTCCAAGTCAACAAGTGAATCTCCTGGTAGAAAATCAACCTCTGGAAAGTTAGACGATGAAAGTGCTATCTCTAAAAGCATGTCTATGGCAAAGCTAAATAAGAATGGGAAAAGCGGACAACCCTGAAGAACACTCGAAGTAATCGATTCTGATGAAAGTTGTCTATAAGTTTTGATTCGTCCATTAGTGTTCGAGTGGTGAGCCTGTACAGGGTTAATACACTCCTTCGATATGCATTTTGATGACAGACACTGCCGTCGAACCTTACGACCAACAGAGCCGAACGCTGCCTTAATGTCAAGGAATACAACTATAGTCGGACCTCAAAAAGTATGTCTACGTTCTGGAACCTGCCGAAGGGTGAATATTTGGTCTATGCATCCACGTGCGGGTATGAAACCAGTCTGATTTTCTCGGGTTCTCTCTTCACGAGCTCTACCTAATATTTGTAACACTTTGGTAGGAAAACTGATTGCACTGTGATTGTCACAAGAGGACCTTGGTTCTTTCTTATTGTGTGGGTCGAACAGCGATCTAGACCAATCGATTGGTATTATCTAAGATTTCAGCTATTTTAACTGCTAAAGCTGCGGCACATTCTTTAAAGATTTTTGGGCTAATCCATCCATTTAAGTTCAGTTATAACTCTCTTCCAGTAAGATTGAACATCTCTAGATGCAAAGTCTCACTAAGCCGTTGGAAATCCATCCAGTTATCATCACCAACGTAAAGCCTGTATCGTTCCTATATTTTATATAAAAGCGAAACGAATAATTCCAGTAGCAAATTAGTAGTGATAGTAATCTTATCAAAGTTAAATTGACTAAACATAGAGTATATGGTTCGGAGAAATGGGCTGAATCATCTGAATAAAAATATGGATTCATGTTTTAACCTAAAAGTTTTGGGAGGATAAATGAACAAATCCGACTGTAACGCTGTAACTTATTCTGGTCGATTTCAGCATTTATTTCAGTGTATTGATTTCGAGTACCTTGAAGTTTTTGACTCTACAGACTGTACCTGTGAGTCCGGTTTGCGCGAACATGCAATGGTTTTACAGACTTAAATTAAGTTTTAGTTTGGTCAGCCCTAAGGACAGTTGCAATTTCAGGACGACAAAGCTATCACATGATATTATTAGCAGTAATTTTGAATCAGGCGGGTGAAGAACAGTTACTGATATGGACATTTTCAGTAAAGAACTACTTTCACAATCTATCTGCAGGTTATTCATCGCTAACCACATAATTATCACTGACCATTTGGGATCACGTTAGCACTATACCATGTATTGACTGTAGTTGGAGATATAAACCAACAAATTCCGGGTCACTGATATTGTAGTGGACAAGAACACAAGTGCGGACAACAAAAAGTATTTTAATACAACAATATTAAGAAAGTGCTCCCACCGCGAAACCCGGGATCCCATGGTTTGATTCTTGTTCGAATGGCCAGTAGGATTGCCGATGAATTCTAAATCAGAACAAAACAGCTGCCCAGTCCTTCTTGGTTTCTGAATGGTTTTGTAGCTTATATCAACCCATATTTAGAAAAGTATCCCTTCATATTGAACTTTTCTTCACAATTCATTCAACACAAAAAGCAACAGTTACGTAGGTGTTATTTCAACCACCTTCCTTATTCACACTAACACTTATTCCACTCATTTTAAGCTGATAATAACAAATTTTGGATAAATAAAGTGTATGAATTCGTTGCAATTTCAGATGAGTATAAAAACGTCAAACAATTTTTGCGATTATAATTGTACTTTTTAGAAAGAAATCAAAATCGGGAAGTCTTTTATGTTGTAGAGGATCATTCAATGTTACATTTCATTTGTATGTGTTTTCTTTGGTAGTTGGTTGTATTGTAGATAATTTTAGACTAGCATTTGATTTTGAGCAATCTACATCCTATTTTTGAAATAGATAAGATAATTTATGATCATCAGTGTTCATATGCCAACTTACCTATTTTTATGGTATGAAGCCCAAAGTTTGTTAATCAAAATCTGTCTCATTCTTAGCGTTTCACAACAGCTTCCATCGTAGCATATCTATTGACAATGTTGACCAGTTATATATTTTTTGTTTTACAATGTATGGTAGACTCAACTTCATGTTCTGCTTTTAATATCATTTATACGCTCTAATTAAGCATTCATAAACCTTTACTCTCAAACATATTTCATATTCTTTGGAGAAGAAGAAGCGTTCGTTATGCTTAATATTGAAACTAAAGTCTTGTATAGAAATGAGATCTTTCTTTTTAAATTTGATTTTGTTTATCATGCCTTTGATTTAATCATATTTTTCTGTCACACGGTGTTGATACAAATTTTTTAACTCCCTGTACTACTAAATATTATTCTTATTGTGGTTTTTACTGTCTCAAGTACACTTGATTATCATTTATTTTTTATGTTATTCATTTTAATACGTTTGATTAATTTTCGCTCATAATTATCCTATTCACCTTGATTATCAAGTATTTCATTCGATTAACTATCTTCCATCTTCTTCGTAATTGATTACATCTTAACAACCATACAGATTATTCTGTTTCATAATAGTGATCATAATATACAATTTCACAAATTTGAAAGTGAACTCGTTAAAAATAAGTTCTCTGGTTGAACTGATAGTTTTTAAGTATAATTAATAAATTTTTGACAGCTTGAAAGTAGATGACATTATGGTGCTATTTCATCCCAGTTTAAATCTCGATTGTGCACATCCAATTTCAATCCTTTTGTGCTCTATTGAAATCTAAAATGAAACAGCTATTCAACACATAATAGTATATAAATGACTCATCAAATGATTTTAATTTATTGTAGGCACTAGTTTCGAAGTAAATAATCTTTGCAAATTCACTCCCCTCCATACACTCCAACCTACTACATGGTTGTTTTCTTATCTCGTTAAGGTGACTGTTGAATCTGGGCCAATTGTGAAACAAAGTCGCTTGTCTAATGTACTGGATGATTTATCTGGACGTTTAACTTTGAATTCAAGATATTACTTGAAAAGTTTGCATAATCATGATCCCCTTATTGCGGATGATGTTGCAAAATCAATTCTAGCTGAAAGTCGTGTTACGTTTACACAGGTAATCTTTTTCCTCTCTTATTAATGATATAAGCTTTTAAATAATGCAACAAAGTAATCTTTCGGATTTGTCGTAGGAAAACGTGGATACCATGCACTATGAAAATATTTTCATTGCGGAGAATATCCTTAGTATTTCGTATTACCATGGGACGATAAGTGCAATTTACAGTCACTTGAAGCTTTGCTCCACGTATATACCTTCAGTTTAATTGCATAGCCTATTCATTACATTTATATTCAATGAAACTTCTTTTTTGTAGACTTCACAGTTTAGGAAAACTCTCGCCACAAACTAATACGAGATTGTTCAAAAAATTTCCATTTTCTTGAAACAAATAATATTCTTTTCAATAGATTTTATTCAAGGATTGTCAATTATAAGTTAAAATTAATAATCGGTAGTGTAGCCAATCTTATAGAGAATGCAACTTTAATAGTAGAATTTTCTAATTTTGAACTATTTGAAAATCTTGAAATGATGATCGTATCTTCGCTAGTGACTAACGTCTGGAATTAATTCTACGATTTCTGATGAGTTGTTATTAATAGAGTTCAGCAACGTCGGATCTGAGAGACAAATATCCATCTGGAGAAATGAAAGATGGTCGCTTATTATCACGAATTGACTGAGGTCAGAAATATATCACCATTGGATCCCGACTCAGTAATCTGATAGTTTGGTCACCTGTGGTTTTCGCGGATATCCACCGCTCAGGAGTCCCATATCATGGCGAAACAACTGTTTCATGCTTTCCGCTTTTAAGTGGTCGTCTAGCTAATATCGTCCTATGATGTAAACTAGGAAAATGTTGAAATAGTCAACGTTCATTATTCAATTTAATTAGATTTAACGTCAAATAAAATTGGGAGGACAATAATCATGGAAATAAATGTCAGACAATTTAGAATAAGAGAAATAATTATATAATTAAAAAGATTAAATGTTTGACTAGGTTATACGTAATGCATGCAGTTATACTGACTAATTAAGATACAATAAGTGTGAGGCGAGTGCTAAATAAATTTCTCGAATGTGTCAGGGTAAAGTAATTGATTAAGCCAGATTAATTTAGACTGCGAAAGTACAAGACAAAACCGAATTTATCGGGTAATTTTATGATCAAGTGACTTACGTTATTGAATCGGCCAGTTTATGAATAAACTTTATGACTTACCTAAAACATAGGGACCAGATGTTCAATTAAGTTCGACTTCAAACGTGCCAAATTCGCCTTACTTTAACGGAATAAGCAGATTGGTTTCACTCAACTGATATAATATTTCAAGTGTATGACACGTGATATTCAAAGCATCCTGACTTTGCGCCTTGAACATTAAATGTCAATGACTTTGAAGTGTTATTCCTAAAACCAACTGCTGATTACTTGAACATTAGACATTTAATCGCATAATTATACAACCTTTAAATATACAAAAATCATCAAATAAATTCCAAAATATACTCATTTTTGATTTTTTTCGATCTCGAAAATTGTGAATGTAAAAAAACTACTTCTAAATCTTCCTTAAAAATTGACTGGATACAACCTTTTTTAGCATAGTAGACGTATGTATAAATTTGTTAAATCCTTGCTTGACAAGGGTGTGCTCTGCTGAGTTGTTCCGCGCTAGTTTGAAATACCTGTTCAATTCAGCCTAATTCTCAATGGGTACTCCAATTGTGTTAAATTTATGATAAATACTACCTCCACAAAACCCATCATTCCGATAATACTCAGTTTATTTGTCACTCCTAATATCTGATGATCTGATCACTTGTGATCTTTTTATTGAATAATTGCTTTTAGCTCCCACCAAATGAATTAGCTGCTCGATTAACTATTGATGATTATGAAATTTTTCGATCTGTTCAATCCACTGAATATATTGATGAGATATTTGGACTCAGTAATGCATATGTTAATAATATCTCTTCATGTGTGATTGGCAATAATAGTAACAGTAGTAATACTGGATATGCAACAGGTCATGAAAATTTGGATCGATTCACCGATCTTGTCAACCGTGAAGCGTATTGGGCTCCCACTGAAATTTGCAATGAAACTAACTTGAATCGACGTGTTGATTTGTTGAAACGTTTCATCAAGGTATTTCATTTTTGCTTATGACTATATTTTACTTTTAATCGAAAATTTTGAAGATAGAGTATTTCGAGTTGACTACTTGACTTTCAAACTATTTATGGGTATTAAGTTTTCATTCTTTATATAGAATATAAGATGTGAAAAATATCTTTTATGTGGACATCAAATAATTAATGACAGATTATTTCGTTACTATCAAGTTACTGTGTCTTTTTCACTTGAAAAAAAATTGAGGTTGCAATCTCAATCATTTCCGTGATATTTTTATAACTATTATACTTTGAGTGGTTAAAAGACTAATAATAATGGAGCGAGTAACTGTTAATTGTTTATGTAATGAATGCATTTTTCAGTAGTTTTATTGGCCACGCTATCATTATATCTACAGTGTTTCTTTTTGTTACTAAAAATCAGTCTTTTTATTAAATAGGTCCCATCTATTTTAATTTGAAAAATCGGTTGGAATCATTCGCCAATCTGTCTTCATTTGAATAAAGCATAGCGTGAAGAAAAAATGGTGTCGCTTGTTTTGAGTTCTGACAATACATTGTTAGATTAACAAATAAACATCAGGACAAAACACCTAAAAGTTTAATTCAATCATTTCATCATATGTTTTTCTCTCAACCACGTTGTTTTGAGTAGTAGATCAAGTTTCGCTTTCTGTTCTTTACATCTCCCTTGTACGGCCAGATAAAATCATTGACCACTCATTATCCTCCAATAAGGGTGATTTAATAATATAATGAACTTCTGTAACAGTTTAGTGGCTAATTATTCAACACCAAATTACGCAATATCAAACTGCATAAATATTCTGGTATCTATCTGTTTTCAAAATATTCTACGATCAGTTGAATACATCTGTTACCTCCTTTTACGGGCTGTTGCTGGATCCCTGCTATAAACTGCTCGATTTCCAAATCATTTGGACTGTTCCTTTTTTATAACATTCATGAGTTCCCGTATGACTGGATGAGCAAAATCAGTGAATTAGCTAGGACCTCTATCTCTTCCCTCTGTCGAGTTGTTCTTTTTAAAAAGGCGTTCCTAAAAAGAACTGAACATTCCAGTGTACAGTTTTAACAATTAGATTGCTACAGCCTTTCAGACCAGGTTTCTTCAAAATAATTTGTTAGTACATTGATTTCTTGATTCTCTACGTGGAGTAATGACTCAATCAGACCGTCAAATGAGGTTATGTCTATAGCCGGCTCGAAAGCTAAATCTACCATCTAATGGATCTGCTAAACCGAATTCGTGTATCATCTAACGCCTTTGACGATTTGTTGATTACCGTAGTCTCTACTATATACTTATCGAAATGCTGATGAAAGTTATGTATTCCTAATCACTCTTGATAATTAATGGACTTATAGTCAGACCCCATTCGTTCGATTTGTTTTAAACCTACACGTATGAATTCATACTTTCATCGTTCATTATAATGTAAATCAAGGAGATATCGTATTGAATTTCACGAGTTACGTATATATAAATCAGTAAATGCAACTGGGTCTTGGATGTACTCTCGGTATACCAATGAGTACACTACCTCATCAATTCCAGCTTCTGAATTATAAAAAAAGATTGTAATTCGTTTTTCACCCGGTTCATTATCATTCAAAAGGAAATCCTCTTCCTTCACAGTTGTTTTGTATTTGGATGTTAAGTTCAATGCATACAGTAAACTCAGATTTATTAGCGGCCCCTGATGGTCATGTACGTGCGTAATTGTCTGTTTCATCCGAATCACAGTTGATACTGAATACAATAGACAGACAGATACTTTATCTACGGTTTGATGTTTCGTTTACGTTTATGAGATTGTTCGATCTTTTATTCTTCCGATCACTATTTAAAAGTTACTTTATCTGAATTAAGTAACTTACACTAAAACGCGAAACGTTAGAAATTTAATTTCCTACTCATTAGAATATTACATGTATATTAGTAGTTTTATTATAATTATGTTTGATTGAATGTCTTGTAATAACTTCATATTTCGTATGACAGCTGGATCTACAGTCCTCCGTACGATGCTTCGCACACCTCCAAATCATCTTGTTACCACCGTTTTTCTCTTTTCTGAGGATGTAGAGCCACTCATCATCAAAAACTTAGAACCGTTATACCCTTTACGTATTTTAATTTCATTACGATGAGGTGTAAAAAATATAATATGGAATGTGATTTGATATATATATATATATATATATATATATATATATATATATTCCATTTACTATAAATGGAATACATCCATTAAGACATTAAATAAAAAAGATTAGTTCAGTGAAGAGTTCTCTTTTTAGCGAATTCATTTTCAAAGTTGTAAAATCGCAAATATATATACTTATTTTTCAGGATGATAATAATTATAATAATTTTGATAATAAACTCCTGTTAGACATGGTGTCAGGGAGGTAAGATAAACCAAGGTATTCAAAATATTTTAAACAGGGAAAACTTACTAATCGTTCGGTAAATCCACATTGAATTGGTCAGATGAGATCATTTATCTTTAAGATTATTAGTGAACAATCATCGGCTGGAGAATAATATTCGCAACGTTGCTGCAAAGAATGTTCTTTTTAAAGAATCAGAAATTCTCTTTAAGACATATGTGACTCTGTCACCCTTAAAGTCGATGTCCATGCATAATGTTTTCTTTTCTACTGAAATTATTTGTGTTTTCGGCGGCTTCGGTTTTGTGTTCCTATCAATGAATATCGAAGGATATCCGTTTTTGTTAAGTATCTCCTTCAAGGGGCCCAATTTTTCATCTATGATCTCGGGACTACAAATTCTTCGTATTCTTGTAGCCAGTTATATTATTAAGTTTCTTTTTCTACTGATGGGGACTCAGCTGTGGAAACTTGATCGTTGTTCATTCCACATGGGTTTCTTGTAGATAGGTCTTCTTAGAGTATCATCTTGTTTTCTTGCCATTCCTGCATCAAGAAAGTGAATATTTTGTTTGTTTTCAACTCCAATTGTGAATTTTATTGCTGGGTGACAATTATTAAGTGTCTTTAGAAGATGAATCAAGTCATATTTGTTGTCACAAATGATAAAGATATCATTTACGTACCTTTTATACAAGTGGAAGTTTCCTATAATCGTCTTAAATTGGTTTGTTTCTAAACTGGCCATGAAGCAACCTGCTAATAATGGAGCAAGAGGCGATCCCATTACTATGCCATTCTTCTGTCTGTGAATTACGTCGTTGAATGTAAACTGTACATTGCAAGTGCAACGTAGTAGTATTTCCTTCAAATAAACTTCCGGTATTTCGATGCTAAACTCATTATTATTTGCGTACTTGCAGATAAAACTAATGGTCACTAATGTTCGATTTTAAGAATATTGAATACCCGAATTAATGCACACATCTTCTGATGTTCTTTATTGATTTCTTATGTTTGATCAGTCAGTATATGTTAATGACTCCACAACAGTGCGCACCCACAATCCTGTGTGAATGATTCTAACTCAGGACCTTCCTTCTCGCACGCGAACGCTCAAACTCCAAACTACTGAGCAAGAATCTAATGATGTTATTGTCTAACTTCAACCAATCCACGATATTACGCGGCCATCTTCCATTGTGTGAGGTAGATAACTGTCTCTACCCGAGACGGATTAGTTCCACTGGTCACGGTGTCTCACTAGAACTCTGAGAATGACCTCTCGAAGCTAGTCACTAGTTAGCACATAATATTTTTAAGTTTGGGGTTGTGGAGATTGTCGAATTTCATTAAAACAGTATGACCCAAAGCGCTGTAAGCATAAATCTGTATATGGTAGAATTGAGTTACTATGCTTTTTTCTGCTCATGTAAGTAAGAGTTGATATTATTAATCCTAAATAATAACTACTACGTAAATTACATTTTTTTCTCTCTTCTCTACTCTATCTATTAGCTTGCCAAATTATGCCGTGAGCTGCGTAATTTTAACACAATGTTCTGTCTACTAGTTGGATTACATCAAACACCTGTCGAACGATTAAAACAAACTTGGGATCGCTTACCAAATAAATACCAAAAAATCTATCGAGATTTAAGTGTTAGTTTTTTCTCCTAAATTATATATATATATATATATATATATATATATATATATGATGTACTTATATGTTGTCTTTTGTAAAGACAACGAACTGTCGATATTTCCTACTCTCATATTCCATATGAAATAATTAAGTCTCATGTGATCGCCGAAGAATGCTTGTGGTATTTTTAAATCTTAATAATAATTCTTGCTATTATGACTGTCAGTTTGTGGCGGTGTACAAATAGGATTTTTTTTAACATAAAATGTCACTATCTAAATAACTGTTGAAAATCAACATATACACTAGGCAGTTAATTTGTCTTCAAATAGAACTATTCAGCTCTGCATACACACTCATGCACTTGGTCTTTTTTGTTGTTATTTTATTTGAAGATGTACTGTGGTAATTTAAATAAATAGTCCGACACATTAAGTTATGTAGTTGAGTTAATCAAGACAGTATGAGTAAAAATAAACTGAATTTAATTTATAAAATCCCTTAATTCTACTTTGGTTTTATAGACAATAGTTGATTTGAGCATAGACTTTCTTTAACAGTGCACGAAATAAAATAACTAGCAAATTTCACCTGGTGTTTCATTTTCTCTTTCTTGTTTACAAGATTTAAGTGTTGATTTACCTAGGAAAAACGTTTTTCTAAAGTATCAACGTCTATCATGTTGTCACAAATATAAACTTCTATATATCATCGGTATTGATAATTTATTTACGTATATTCTTGTAAAATTTACTTAGATGTACATATTAAGAAGAAGAGTAAAGATATTCGATTAGTGGTTGAATAATTTCATGTCTTTCCTTAAACTATGAGACTAAAATCGCTTCATATCTTCTTTTCTACAGACTAATTCTTCCTGCACAATATCCTTATATCTAATTTATATATATATATATATATATATATATATATATATATATATATATATATATATATAAACCATCATTGAGTTAACCACTTCTATGAATCCGGTGTTCATCTTGCTGTGCTAATGAGGTATGGCAACTTGGACCGATGCATATGTGTGCTTGGTCCTACGTTATAGCTGACTGACTGACTGAATTTCCTGTAACATCTGATTGCACTAATCTATGTAAAGTCATGAAGTCAAAGTGAATATGGTGTTTATCCCAACCTTCATCATCACGTCTACCAGTCAAAAATGTCTGAATAAGTAATGTATCCAGAGTTTGAAAAAGAACTATGCATATTATTGAATACCTTTCAGTGTAATTAATGAGTAACTTGACAGTATGATACGGCTATTTTAGTAATAATTAATTTATGTTTCACAATTTTGCAGTTCGTTTTATTATCCAAAAGTATCTCGTCCTTACAAATAAACTAGGAGCTTAGTCGTTTAAAATAACAATCGATCCAATTCTGGTTATGTTATGTCGGTGTTAACCATATCTAACTAACTAGCTGGATTGGAAGAAAGTAAAAATCGATTAAATGGAGATATTGTATCACTTCATAATGTAACTGACTGTTGTCCTGAGCCATATCGACAGGTACATACTGGTTGTAATGAGCGAAATAATCGTATTCTATAATTGGTGATATTAGATGACATCACTTAAAAACATTCGTATTAGGCGCAGTTACATTTATTCTTTACATTCTCTTACCTTCTAAGCTTATAGTCATTTTGTGCTTTGCATTATTCCATCTCATTCGTTCTTTTTTGAATGACATTCTTTATGTATAAGCTTTCTTATTTATTTATTTATTTGGACACATGAATATTGGTACAAGAGAGCGCCAATATATATGCGCCACACAAAACAATGAAAATTCGAGAGGAATACAAGGAAAGAAAAAAAAATCTAAGGAGCGCAACAAAAAAAGATAGAACAATAACGAAGAGATTGGTGTAAGGTAATGTGCTAGTAATCAGGGAACGCAAAGGTACAATCGGAAGAAATCTTTCAGGTAAGGGAGACACAACCACTTTTTATGAAGAAAGTAAAAGAAGGTTACAGCAGGATCGCCACTGGCTTCTATTCTGAGCCATATCTGATAACGTCTCTAGCCACTGTGTAGCACCATCTCTCAGACCCCAACCAGGGAGTCGTGAAGGACCAACACAAGCCAGTCCTTTGCAGCTTTCTTTCATGCCACGACACCATGTCATGCACTGACCACCTCTCCGCTTCTTCCAACCAGTCCCAGAGTCGGCAAATAATGCACGACGTGGAATTCTCTGGGACGACATTCGGAGAACATGTCCAAGCCACCGAAGTCGGTGTTTCAAGATGGTGACACCAATTGAATTATCATCTCTGTGCCCGAACACACGATGCCGAACCTCTGCATTACTGACATGGTGTTGCCACTGAATGTCAGCAATCCTTCGGAGACAGCGATGATCGAACACAGAGAGTCGTCTAACGTCCTCAACTCGGAGAGGCCAGGTTTCACAAGCATAGAGCAAAACTGCTCTCACCGACGCGTTGTAGATCCGACCTTTTACAGCCAGACTAACATCACGAAGGCGCCAAAGGTGGCCCAGATTGGCATAAGCCGCTCTGGCTTTCACTATACGTGCATTGATCTCATCACTCACACCCCCACCAGCACTTATGCAGCTACCCAGATACACGAACTTCTCGACTACGTCTATCTGCTCACCATCCAGGGTGAGTACAGGATTGGAATCCTGCCAGTCTTGTAGAAGTACTTTGCACTTCGAAGGTGCAAAGCACATACCATACCTACGGACACTGATTGCCAACTGATTAAGTGCGGATTGCATGCCTTGGGCATTATCGCACAGTAAGACAATATCGTCCGCATACTCAAGGTCGAGAAGTCTTTCTCCAGGCAACAGATCCACACCACCATTACTTACATTCATCAGAGCTGTTTCCAGAATGTCATCGATGGCAAAGTTGAAGAGGAATGGTGAGATTGGGCAACCCTGCCTAACCCCACTGCTCGAATGGAACAATGGAGAGAGGTGGTTGTATGCCCTCACTCTGCCTGAGGTGTTTTTATATAGGGCTTTTAGGATGTTAATAAACTTCTCAGGCACACCCTTCTTCAATAGACAATCCCAGAGAACAGTCCTGTCCAACGAATCGAAGGCAGCCCTGATGTCAAGAAACACTACGATTGTTGGCCTTTGATAAGTATGGCGGTGTTCTAACATTTGGCGGAGGGTGAAGATATGATCAATACATCCTCGACCAGAACGAAACCCAGCCTGCTCCTCGCGAGTCAATCTTTCTCGGGTTTTGAACAACCTACGAAGTATGACGGAAGCCAATAGCTTGGACGCAATCGGAAGTAGACTTATCCCCCGATAGTTGTTACAGGAACGACGTGAACCCTTTTTAAAGATAGGGACAACTATCGACTCATTCCATGACGTTGGTACACTCTCTAGTTCCCAAACCTTTGTAAACAACGTCGTCAATTCCTTAGTCAAAAAGTCACCACCATCTTTAAAAAGAGCCGGAGGTAAGTCATCTGGGCCAGGTGATTTGTAACGCTTCAAGAGTTGGAGTTCCTTGCGGACTTCCTCCTCGTTTGGTGGATCAGTCGTCACCGGCCATGGAGGGCAGGACAGTCTGACCGATGTTGCCGGAGCAGCAGGCCAGTTGAACTGCCCTTCGAAAAATTCTGCCCATCGTCCAAGACGTCGATGGATGTTAGTGATTGGCATCCCATCATCCTCGCAGATTGTTTCACTCACACCAGACTTCTTGCTGCCAGTGGCTCGGATGAGCTGGAAGAGCTTCCGGTAGTTACCAGATGCAGCTGCTGCTTCCAGCTCATTAGCACGCTTCGACCACCAGGCTTCTCGGTCCTTACGCAAGCTTTGCCCAATTTCCTTACGTAACATCCTTCGTTTATGGTCAAACTCACGGTCACCCGGAGTAGACCGACGGGCTTCAATGAGTTGTAAGGAACCAGAAGAAACCCAGTGCTTAAAAGCGGGACGTTTCGCAAACCCACAACTGACTGTTCCCGCCATTTTCATGGCGTCATGCAATTGCAACCAATGCTCATCTATACTTTTCGGTGGAGTGGTAGCTAGCCTAGAGGCTAGCTCGGTTCGATACTTACTTGCAACAGAAGTTGCAACCAGCTTGCTAACATCAATCCGTTGGTGGCGGTCACTTCGTTGTCCACTGAAAAGTAAGGCAAGATTGGCGCAGACCAAGGCATGGTCAGAGTCCAGATAGGTACTCCAAAAGGAGCGGCAGTCTTTACACAACCACGCCAGCGGTAGCTGATCGCGATGTGATCAATCTGAGTCCAGGCTTGAGATGCAGAGGGAGGACGCCAGGTGGCACATCGGCGATGACTGTGCCGAAAGTTAGTGCTAGCCAGAAACAGGTTGTGGTCTGTGCACAGTTGCAGTAGACGGTCCCCGTTATCTGACCTGCGACCAACGAGTCCCCATCGGCCACCTAAACGACTCTCTTCTGTGCCTAGACGCCCGACCTGAGCATTCAAGTCTCCGGCTAGTACTACAATATCTGTCGAACGCACTTTCTGGAGAAGAACAGATAACTGGTGGTAAAACTCATCCTTGATTGCATCCGGGCTGCAATCTGTCGGGGCATAGGCGGAGATGACGAAAAGACATCGTTTCTCACGCCGATTTCTTCTCACTTTGATGGAACTTTCTAATCTAACAGCACATAACCGACTGTTAATGGGGATCCAATCGACTAGTGCTGCCTCAGCTCTAGCGCTTAGTGCGACACCAACGCCAGCAAGACCAGACGAAGATGCCACAGGGTCCCCGGATAAGCGCACGTAAAACAAGCTTTTCGAAGCGACAGATGGAGATCGAATTTGTAGTACTTCGCCAGAGTCTTGAATACGGGTCTCGGATAGACAACAAACATCAATATTAAGACTTTCCAAAGACATAGCCAGCCCTATCTGTTGTCCGACCTGCATAAATGTGCGAACGTTGAAGGCAGCCAGTTTGAATGGTGCACGTGGTTTCAGAAAAACTGCTTCAGTACTCATA